AAAAATTAAAATAAAACAACAGAGGTTTACTTATTATTCTTTTTACAGTTCTGGAGACCAGAATATGAAATGAGTCTTACAGGGTTAAAATCAAGTTTTGGCAGTGCTGTTTGCCCTCCAGAGGCTCCACGGGAGAATTCTTTCCTTGCCTCTTGCAGCATTTGGCAACTGATGGCATTCTTGGCTGCATCACATTCCAGTGTCTCCTCCAACTTCACCATGGCTTTCTCCTCAGCGTGTCTGTCTAGTCTCCCTCTGCCCTCCTCTTGTCAGGATTTGTGTGATAGCAGTTAGGACCCACTTGGGTCATTCAGGATAATCTCAACGTAAGATTCTGAATTATATCTGCACAATTTTACCGTATAAGCCAGTATTCACAGGAATTAGGACCTGATATCTTTGAGGGCCACCATTCAACTCACTTCAGGAAAATAAGAAACACATTTTCGTTATCTCTTTGTGTGTGTGTGGGAAAGGTGAAACGTCTTTATAATGGTCTTTTCCCAAGTCCTGCTTGTCTCCAAAGAAGGCAGGCATTAAGGCTGTTGTGAAATGAGTGTTTCCATAAAGAATAAATTAAGTTTGTTTTTTCATCTTTAGATGGCACCGTATTATATACAATACCAATTTTGCATGTTTTCTTGAGTATAATATGTTACTAGTCCTATAATTCAGTTGCCCTAGTGTACCTGTTAATTAAATGATTTTTTATGTAAAAATTCCTTTTTGGTTTAATTGTACATCACAAGATAAAAAAATTTAAAAGTTTAAATTTTATCTGTTATATCTATATAGACGTTAATTTTCACTTTTTTGAAGGAAAATATGAGATGCTGTTAGTGTGAGATATTTAAAGAAATTAAGATACAGAATGTTTTGTATTATTCCCTATCTTTCTTTCCGTGTTTGTATTTTTCTTTTGGCACTGTTATTCTGTTTACCTAGTTCTTAGAAAGGATGTTTATACAGATTTAAAATCTGAAAAATCCTAGAACAAGATTTCCTTAATTAAGGGCTTTATAATAGCTTGAGTTTTAATTTTGAGTTTATTATGCTTTATTTGATTTCACCCAGTTAAGTTAGAATAATAATTAATTGTAATTTTAAGTGGTGTTTACTAAGTAAATATATTAGCTCATCCAGAGAATAGTTTATATTGCAAATTTAATTAGATTCCCTAAGGGAATTCATAATATTACTTGGTAATTTAACTAAATAATCTTTTTTTTTAGAGGGGAAAGAACATAAAGCCTCACACAATATGTAAATTATTAAAATAATGTTCATAGTATTTAAATTATTTTATTAAAATCACTGTTACTGATATTTTGTCTTTTTTATATTGTCAAATAAATTGTACACTCATTTTATTTCTGTTTGGGGCTACAGTTATGCATCACACCAACAATTAGTTTGTCTGCTGATAAAACAAATCAAGAATAGGATTATGATTGGGGTGTCTGAGTGGCTCAGTTGGTCGAGTGTGTCTGCCTTCTGTTCAGGTCATGATCCAGGAATCCTGGGATAGAGTCCTGCATCGGACTCCCTGCTTGGCAGGGAGTCTGCTTCTCCCTCTGCCTACCGCTCTCCTCTCCGTGCTTGTGCTCTCTCTCTCTCTCTCTCATTCGATCTCAAATAAATAAATAAAATCTTTAAAAAAAAATAGGATTATGACTGCTTTTATCTTATAGCTGAACAAATAGTACTTTTGATTTTTTTCCCGTCAATGCTTTAAACACTCTTTATATGGTTGTTGTGCTTTCTTTTGACCATTATATTCAGTCTTCTCTGCTTGCTTTTTTCCCCTCGACTCAGCTTGTAGATACTGGCTGTCCCGATGGCTCATTCTTGAACTCTTTCCAACTCAGTACTATGATGTTAGGTGATGTCTTCCATTTCTGTGATTTTATAGTACTAACCATATTCCCAGAACTTTAAATTTTATATATTCATCCCAGACCTCATGTCAGAGATCTATAATCATCTAACACCTCGATTGACTCTTTTTCAGATATCTCACATTATACAAATAGATGATTGAATCTTTGATTCTAACTTCTGCTTCAAAAAACAAAATGAAACTCTCACCAGCACAGCAACAAAAACAAAAATCTTGTTCAACCCCCATCTCTTTTATTAAATAACCTCTTATTTATCCCACATAGACAGTCACTTGCCCAATGTCTAAGTACTAATACAAAAATATATTTCAAAATTTATCTAATTTTCTTAGACTCATTCTTGTGATCTTAATTTTAACCATAATCTATCTCTAGGACCACTTTATTATTTATGGGTCTATAATGCTAGCTATTATACAGAATAATGAACTGGGCATAATTTTGATTTTAGGATTTCAGATTAATTGTAAACAGTAATTTTTTAACTCCTAGGATTCTGAAGTTACAAGAGTAAGAGGTAAAACCCTACATGTAAAAGAAACATCCTAAACTTAAAAAAATGATGATTTAATTTTTCCTCCTCAGTAGAACTGCCTGATGCTTGGTGTCCAGAGGAGTTAAGCCAGGATATTGAGAAACTTCTGTTTCAAGTTCAGATTTTGGTTTCTAGTAATTCTGTCTGTCCTTTTATTTAGTCATTTAGAATCTTATGGTGGTAGGAAGACAAATCCAAATTAATTCTCAAATAATCATAACTAATGTTTTTTTGCCTATTATAAAATTTTATATTAGGTGAGTGTGTGTTTGCACTCACATAAACATATATTAATACCTTTATATTAGTATTATAAATAGGGAATTTACTATATTGCTAAGTAAATAGGCTCATCCCTTAGGGTAAGGAAGTTAGAAATTGGTAGGAGGCTGTTCTTATGAGGGCAGAACACAAGTTGAATGATGTATGGTGGGTTAATGTACACCATAGATGTTCTTCCTGACAGAGGTAAATAATATTCTTATTTTTTAACCAAATAGTATAATGAATTAATGTAAGCAAAATATATATCTATGATGAGGTAGCAGTGGTTCTCAACAGGTTGTAGGGGCATTTGAACCCCAGGGGACATTTTTCGGCTGTCATGATTAGAGGGTTTTAATGGCATCTGGTGGGTAAGTGCTGGGGATGCTGCTAAATATCCTACAATACCCAGGATAGTGCTACACAACAAATTGTCATGGAGCCTAAAATGGCAATAGTGCTTCAGTTAAGAAACTCTTTTAGGATATTTTTTTTCAACCTGCCACATACTTGTTGTCTTAAGTATTTTTCACAATTTCATTTAACTAACCTTTAAAATAGGTGTAAATAGTTATAATAATTCCAGGATTTTATTTTTGAGAAAACTGAAATGATTGGAAGTATATTTGTGTGTACTTGGAATAGTAAGGAATCGAGAATGAATACCAGGTTTCTGGCTTGCACAATTGAACAGGAGGATGTTGGTGACATTATCTGAGATAAGAGAAACAGATGTGTGGAAGAGGATTTTCAGTTCAGATTTTGCAGAATTTGTACAGACTTTGTACAATTTGAGGTGTCTGAGAGATATCAAGAGAAATTGTGAAGATCAGAACATGGGTGTTCAGACATAGCTTTAATTTGAAATCTGTTGATATATAAATATAATTTGACCCTGGGATTGGATGAAATCACCCAGTAAAGTGTACATCTTAAGAAGGAAAGGGTACCTTGTCACAGCTCTTAGGAGCATCGACATTCACAATGCAGGGGAAAATCCAGCAAGAGACTAAGAAGTAGCCAGAGAGATAATAAGTGATGCAGGAAGTGTAGTCTCCCAAGCCAAGAGAAAGGAAATTCTTCTAGTTAGATGAGTCGTTATTTATACAGAGGCTGTTGTGACCTAGGTGGGCAGGAAGTGATTAGAAACCCAGTTACAGTGGGTTGAGAAATCCATGGTAAGTAAGAAATTTAGTTGTGTTGTAGGTTTATGTAAGTTTGGCTGTGAAGGAGGAAGAGGTAGAGGCGGACGTGGATCTGGGGAGGACTTTTTGTGTTTTTGAAAAGATCAGAGAGAATTCCTCATTGGTATTTTTTTTTTAATTAAAACTTTTTTTTTTTTAAGATTTTTATTTATTTATTTGACAGACAGATCACAAGTAGGCAGAGAGGCAGGCAGAGAGAAAGAGGAGGAAGCAGGCTCCCCACTGAGCAGAGAGCCCGATGCGGGGCTCGATCCCAGGACCCTGGGATCATGACCTGAGCCGAAGGCAGAGGCTTTAACCCACTGAGCCACCCAGGTGCCCCTCCTCATTGGTATTTTAAAAGATAAATTCTAAAGATATAAAAGCATATGAAGTACAATTTGTTAATAAACAAGCTTTTAATGAGGATATATATATTTAAGATTTTGTTTATTTATTTGAGAGTGTGAGCGAGAGGGAGCACAAGCTGGGGAAGGGACAGAGGGAGGAGGAGGAGCAGACTCCCCACTGAACAGGGAGCCTGATATGGGACTCTATCCCAGGATCCTAGGTTTATGACCTGAGCGGAAGGCAGGTGCTTAACTGACTAAACCATGCAGGTGCCCTAAATGAGTATATTTCTGTATGACTTTTTTTGCCTTCATGGTCATGGTGGATGATATTTTATAGTATGTATTTGCAAAAGATTTTATTTATTAGAGAAATAGAGAAAGAGAGAGAGCAGGGGAGGAGCAGAAAGAGAAGGATAAGCTGACTCTGGCTTGATCTCAGGACCCTAAGATCACGACCTGAGCTGAAATCAAGAGTTGGACGCTTAACTGACTGGGCCACCCAGGTGCCCCAATATTTTATAATACTTTATGTATGTATGTATGTACGTATGTAAACTCTATGACCAATGTGGGGCTTGAACTCAACAATACTGAGATCAAGAATCACACGCTCTACCAGCTGAGCCTGCCAGGTGCCTCATATTTTATTATATTTTAAATAGTTGCTTAGATGTTAAGTGATTCAGCAAGTATGAAAATAGTTCTGTTAATTATAATAGATACTGTATATTTTTGGCACTCAAATATTACTTTTCTTTTTCAGATCTTTCAAGAAATCGCTTTACAGAAATTCCTTCCGATGTCTGGTTATTTGCACCTCTTGAGACATTAAATTTATATCATAATTGCATCAAAACCATTCCTGAAGCCATTAAAAACCTGCAGATGTTAACATACCTTAACATTAGGTAAGGAAACATTTTTTGGGGTAGATTTTGTTTTTTATTACAGTTCTAATCCTTTTTAGTAACAAAGGAATGTGTTTGGTTTGGCTGTGTAACCTATATTTATCTCAACAGTACTTTATTTGTATTTGTTATACCTTCACATTACTTTATAGGTGTTTGGTCTTGTTCTTGAGAGCAGTGCTTCTCATCCCAGCCTTTAATCAGCCCAGGAGTCACGTGGGGATTAAAACATCTGATTGCATAGCTCTGCAGTGGGGCCTGCATTTCTAACAAGCCCCCTGGTAATGCCAGGCTTTATTTAGATCAGAAATATTTTACTGAAATCATAGCACTACGATGCAGATTTATTTATATGCATTTTCAGTTAAAGTGAAACATTATAAAGAAACAGTTCTTTTTTTTTTTTTTAATATTTTATTTATTTATTTGACAGAGAGAGATCACAAGTAGGCAGAGAGGCAGACAGAGAGAGAGAGAGGAGAAAGCAGGCTCCCCGCCAAGCAGAGAGCCCGATGCGGGACTCGATCCCAGGACCCTGAGATCATGACCCGAGCCGAAGGCAGAGGCTTATTAACCCACTGAGCCACCCAGGCGCCCCGAAACAGTTCTTGAGCTATAGTGTTCACTCTTGTGAGTTCTCCTTGCTACTTTAAGGATGGATAGGTTGGGTTGGGAGTGTTGGAATTTTAGGAAGTAGATGAAGGTGTTAATACTTAATAGATGCTTACTATGTGCCAGACAATGTTACAAATACCTTACCCATATTACCTCATCTCCTCTTCACAACAGCATTTTGAAAGAGGTACTATTTATTTATTTATTTATTTATTTTTTAAGATTTTACTTATTTGAGGGGAGCCTGGGTGGCTCAGTTGTTAAGCTTCTGCCTTCGGCTCAGGTCATGATCCCAGGGTCTTGTGATGGAGCGCCTCTCCCAGTGGGGAACCTGCTGCTTCTCCCTTTCCCTCTGCCTGCCGCTACTCCTTCTTATGCACTCTGCACTCTCTCTCTCTTTCTCTTTGTCAAATAAGTAAAGTCTTTTCTTTTTTTTAAAGGACCACTTTCTTGTTTTTTTGTTTTGTTTTGTTTTTCTTTAATTGTAAGTGTTAATTTCTTCCCTCTCCTTAACAAAGTTACAATGTCTGAATTCCCATACAGGAAGGTGGTAAATATAATTAATGTATATAAATAATAATGGTCCTTTCTCACTGTGATACATTAATCCTTCTATTTGTCTCCCCCAGTGGTGTCACCTGGCAGTACATACTCTTTTTTAACTGAATCTTTATACCTTAAAATGTGTGAATTCCTTTCATAGATATTAGTCATTTGGGTTGCTCTTTTCTTTAATTCTCTAATCTGCTTGGCCTGGCTTGGGAGAGGTTTTGAGGCAAGTGAGGTACTTTTAATTTTTGTCTTTATTTTTGTTTCACTTTGTTCTCTTATGGAAAAAAGTGATTTGTCAAAAATTGAATTATATTTCTATACTAATAGAAATGTATGGTTATCTTAAAATAGTTCTACTAAAACTTTCTCTGATTCCTGTTTTGATCTTTATTTATGTATTTTTAAAAAGATTTTACATATTTATTTTTATGAGAGAGAGAGAGCACGTACGTGAGAGCAGGGGGGTGGGGTAGAGGGAGAAGCAGACTTTCCCCTGAGCAGGGAGTCCAATGCTAGATTTGAACGCAGGACCCTGGGATCATGACTTGAGCAGAAGGCAGATGCTTAACCTACTGAGCCACCAGGCGCCCCATTTTGATCTTTAAAAGTTGTCTCCTGATATTTGTTTATAGTCACAAACGTTTTTGAACAAACTTTATTGAAATAACATTAGTCTTCATTTCGACTTCCTTTGTCTCTAAAACATGGCAAAAAAGTGAAAATTGATGACTTATTAGCTGTGTATAAAGAAATTCAATTCTGGAGAAAGCTGACTGCTAACTCAATGAACCTGCTTCTTAAAGTAAGAAAATAGGCCAATTTTTTAAAAAGTAAACTCTAGGCCCAACCTGGTGCTTGAACTCATGACCCCGCAGATGAAAGGTCACACGTTCTACCGACTAAGCCAGCCGTGTGCCCCCCAAAATAGGCCAATTTTTAATCTTTTTTTGGTCTGAAGGAGGTTAGAATGAATTTGTATGTGTCATTACTTTTCCCACTTTGTTTTTTATTTTGTTTTTTATTTTGGTGAAAATATCCTGAGAAACTTCTAAGATGGTTTTTCAGCTCTTTCTGTCTGTATAATACTCCCTTGTGTGCTCTACATTGGCTACTTTCCCAAGGATCCTGTTTGATCCTGAAAGTGTCAAGAGTTGTAACAAGCACCTGACATTCTAGCAGCCTGGCCATGATTGTGGTTTAGGGCCATTGTCTTTTTTTTTTTTTTTTTTAAAGCCTGTGCCTTGTGATTAAAGCCAGTCTAGTGTTTCTGAATGTCCTCAGGTCTTGATGTTCTTCTTTGGGGTAACACTAGGGGTTTTTTTGCTGTGTATATTACACAAAATACTGGGTACAGGTCTATAAATGCCACTTTGAGGGGCACCTGGGCAGCTCAGTTGGTTAACCGTCTGCCTTCGGCTCAGGTCATGATCCCAGGGTCCTGGGATCAAGCCCCACATCAGGTTCCCTGCTCAGCAAGAAGCCTGATTCTCTCTCTCCCTTTGCCTGTCGCTCCCCTTGCTTGTGCTCTCTCTGTCAAATAAATAAAATCTTTCTTTCTTTTTTTTTAAAGATTTTATTTATTTATTTGACAGAGATCACAAGTAGGCAGAGAGGCAGGCAGAGAGATAGGGGGAAGCAGGCTCCCCACTGAGCAGAGAGCCCAATGCAGGGCTTGATCCCAGGACCCTGAGATCATGACCTGAGCCGAAGGCAGAGGCTTAATCCACTGAGCCACCCAGGCACCCCAAATAAAATCCTAAAAAAAAATACCACTTTGAAAAGCAGGAAAAATAACTTATTTTTATGAATACTTGATAGTATGTAAATGTAATGGTATACTTTATATTTTTTGATGGGGCGATTATCTTAGTCTGTTTGGGCTGCTATGACAGAATACCATGTATTGGGTGCCTTGCTCCCGAGCAATCTACACATTTAATGCAATCCCTATCAAAATACTCCCAGCATTTTTCACAGAGCTAGACCAAACAATCCTAAAATTTGTTCAGGACTACAAAAAATTCTTTTTTTTTTTTTTTTAAAGATTTTATTTATTTATTTGACAGAGATCACAAGCAGGCAGAGAGACAGGCAGAGAGAGAGGAGGAAGCAGGCTCCCTGCCGAGCAGAGAGCCTGATGTGGGGCTCGATCCCAGAACCCTGGGATCATGACCTGAGCCGAAGGCAGAGGCTTTAACCCACTGAGCCACCCAGGCACCCCAGGACTACAAAAAATTCTAAATAGCCAAAGCAATCCTGAAAAAGAAAAACAAAGCTAGAGGCATCATGATTCTAGACTTTAAGCTCTATTACAAAGCTTCAGTCATCAAGACAGCATGGTATTGGCAGAAACACACATAGATCAATGGAACAATAGAAAACCCAGAAATGGACCCACAGTTGTATGTTGAACTAATCTTCAACAAAGTGGGAAAGAACATCCAATGGAAAACAGTCTCTTCAACAAATAGTGTTGGGAAAACTGGACAGCAACATGCAGAATGAAACTGGGCCACTTTCTTACACCATACTCAAAAATAAATTCAAAATGGATGAAAGACATAAGATAGGAAACTACCAAAATCCTAGAGGAGAACACAGGCAGAAACCTCTTTGACCTTAGCCATTGCAACTTCTTACCATGTATTGGGTGCCTTATAAACAACAGAAGCTTATTTTTCACGTTTCTGGAAGCTGAATATTATGAATATATCCAAGATCAAGTCACCAGCAGATTCAGTGTCTCATTGAGGACCTGCTTCCTGGTTCACAGGCAGCCATCTCCTAGCTGTCCTCACTTGGTAGAGGGAGCAAGGGAGCTCTCTGAGGTATTTTTACACTTGATCTTAGCCAAAGGGCCAAGAAGCGATCTCTGAGGTATTTTTTACAAGGGCACTAAACCTGTTCATGAAGGCTCCACCATTATGACCTAATCAACCCCCAAAGGCCCCACTTACAAATATCATTACATTGGGATTAGGTTTCAACATTATAAATTTGTGGGGGACACAAACATTGAGTCTACAGCAGGGGTCATTTGGTCACTCTGTATTGGTGTATAAATTTGACCCACAGTAGATTGAGGGTAAGGACCTCAGAGCCATATTGCCCAGATTAGAATCCTGGCTCTCTTATTTACAAGCTGTGTGACTTTGACAGTTTGCTTAATCTCTCTCTCTTTTTTTTTTTCCATTTTATTTTTTTAATTTATTTTATTTTATTTTTATTTATTAACATATAATGTATTATTAGGCCCAGGGATACAGGTCTGTGAATCGCCAGGTTTACACACGTCACAGCACTCACCATAGCACATACCCTCCCCAATGTCCATAACCCAACCACCCTCTCCTTACCCCCCTGCCCCCGGCAACCCTCAGTGCTTAATCTCTTTTTGACTGATTCTTCCTCTGTAAAATGGGCATCGTGATATGCTCTGTTTTCCTAAAGTTGGTTGTTGTGACATTAGTGGAGTTAATTCATGTGAGGTGCTCTGAACATGGCTTGACACATAGTAAACAATACATGTTAGTTGTTTTTATATTTAAGTGTATCCATAGAGATAGGAATGTTTTATCAACTTGGAACTGAGGTAAAGGTGTTAGTGGGCTGTTCTACTATAAACCCATAAGAGAAGAGAGTGGGGGCACCTGGGAGGTTCAGTGGTTGGCGTCTGCCTTCGGCTCTGGTCATGATCCCAGGGTCCTGGGATCTAGGCCCACATCAGGCTCCCTGCTCGGCGGGAAGTCTGTTTCTCCCTCTCCCACTCCCCCTGCTTGTGTTCCCTCTCTGTGTCTCTCTCTCTGTCAAATAAATAAATAAATAATCTTAAAAAAATAAAAGAAAAAGGAAAGGGAGTGGATTAGGGTTTCATATGTCTTTGAAGATGTAGTTCTATTAAATTCTTTCATAGATTTGAACTTAGTGCATGCAAACTTATCCTTAGAACCTTTTCTTTGTTAGAGGCATGGAGGTATTGAATGCAGTGAAATGATACCAGAGAACAAGGTTCTGACATTTTCTAACTCAGAAGAATGATTTTGCATTTTGAGAACTGATGGTATGTAAGACAGTATCATAGGTAACAACATAAGCTTTGCAAACTTTTGTGACTGGGCAAGTCCCTTAGCTAGTTTTACCCTTTGTTTTCTTATGTGTATAATAGAGATAATAGTACTGCCTGTCTTATGGGGTTACTGAGTATTAAATGAGATAGTGCATTTAAGGATTTTAGTGTGATACAGAGTAAGTGCTCATTAAATGATAGTCATTATCTGGTGAAAGCTTTTTCTCTTTTGAGGTGATTTGTTCACCTCAACATAATGTGAGAGATTTCAGACATATCCCATAATGAGACTTTCTTATTCTTTTCAGTCGAAATCTTTTATCAACATTGCCAAAATACCTATTTGATCTTCCCCTTAAAGTTTTGGTCATCAGTAATAATAAACTGGTATCCATTCCAGAAGAAATTGGCAAGTTAAAAGACTTAATGGAATTGGTGAGTAAAATAATTGCATTGATTGTATATCTATAACACATGCCTTTATATTTTGGAAGATTGCTCTTTGGAATTTCAGTGTAATTTTTCTTTTAAAGAATAACTTTGTATACACTTATGTTCACCTTAGTAAAATTTTGAGATGCCATTGCTTATGTCTGATTTTAGCTCACAGCCACAATAAAAGCCTGGTTATTTTTAGTCCCAGTGAGTCGAAAGGTTTGCTTGTAAGTGTTAAGAAATGCTTTTCAAACCAATAAGCATTTGTCTATTCATTTTGGGGATCATAAAGATCTTAGACCAGGAAAAGATATCTTTTTTTAAAGGTTTTACAGGGCTACTATGAAATCCTTAGAGAAGGGATAAAGGAAGAAAGTACAATGCCTGCAAACAATAGAATGAACAAAATAACTCTTCCTCTTCTATATTCTCATGTGATTTTGTAACACTTTGGGAACCAAGATAAATGAAGAGAGGCCATTATATACAATTAATTGTAGAAATATAGGAATAATTTAATTACCTTGAACAGAACATTTAAGGTATTAAAGGATATTGAACTTTGAGAGAAACATATCCTCAAAGCATTGACCTTTTCTCATCTTTCTGTTACTTCTGTAGGGGGATGAGGGCAGGTCACCCCAAGATGGGCTACTTTGGCGTGATTATTTTGAGTTGAAAGCAATTAAACCAACAGATTTAGGAAAAGCTCTTTACCCACCCCCAGTGGCGCACAACTGCCTAAATTTACATTGTAAATGAGAGCCTGTACTAGGAAAGGCCCTGTTAACGGAGATTCCTCTTTACCTATTTAAATTTACCTAAATTATTTGAATAACTGAGCACTGGCTTATTTTCCAAACATCACCTCTTTCCTTCCTGCTAATAATGGTCTTCCTTCCCTTTGTTTTCCCAGATTCCTACCCATCTCCTTAGCTCAGGATGTCACATAAGCCCCTTGTTGCCTGTCTTTGGAATTTCATGTTCGTATGGATTCTCCGTACTCCGTACTTTGTATGGATTCTCTGTTTAAAAATTTCTGGTTCCTGCTCACATATCTCTTGAGTAAAAGCCTCAGTTATACCCCTCCCACCCGCTTAGCTTAGTCCACCCCCCCCCTCCCCGACTTCCTTCTGGTTACACTGGATTTCTTGCTGTTCTTTAGTACATATCTGGCATATTTTGCCTAAGAGTCCTTTAATATTTATTGTTCCTTATATTCCTTTCTTATATATTGGCATGGCTCATACTCTTAGCTCTGACAATACTGCTCAAATAACAGCTTCTTCATGAGACAATCTGAATTGCTAATATCCCTTCCCATTACTGTTTGCTCTGCCATTTTCCTTTACCCTTTTTTTTTTCCACAGCCTTTATCAACTGTCATATTATATAATCTACTCTCCTTGCTAGAATGTAATAAGCTCCATAAAGAGCTATGAGGGCAGGAATTTTTGTTGGCTTTACTTCAAATTGTGCCCCTAGCATCTACAACTGGGCCTAGCAAATAGTTGGTATTGGATAAATGTTTGTCATTGAATGAAGATGCCTTAGATATAGTTTGAAAGAAGTATGTAGGATACATTTTTTCTAATCATCTTAGCTCTATTGGGTTTTTCCTTACACGGCTTTAATATTCTTCTGAATTTACCCTCCTGCCTTTTTTATTTTTGATAGAACTGAGTATATGTGCCACTCTTCTCCCTCCAAGCTAATATCATTTCCAGTGAAAGTTGGAAATTCGGGGCAGTTGCAGTAGCATGTGAATTTCATTTGCAGTGTGTCTGGAGTGACTGCTGTGTGAGATCTTTTTGCAGATTTTTCTTAAAGAGGAGGAAGAGAGCACAGTTAAGCTGTCTTTTAATATGGAAAAGTGATATCCTTTATCTTTAAATCAGGATTTGCCTTTTAATTTAACGTTGAGACACTTCCGATTCAGATCTCCTAGAAAGTCTTTGGGTTATGATGTGGGCCAAAGAATTTTGAGCTTGTAACCCCTCATATTTTGAATCCTTTTGAGAAATAGGTTCAAATTAATTCTGACCATAGTTTTTGGATCTCCAGCTCATGTCTGTAAATCCTTGACTCTCAGCTTTTGCCTAACAGATTAACTCAAAACTACTGTAATTGACAGATTATCACAGTGATTGGTAGTCGTTTTTGATTTTACCTCTGAATGAAGAGCACTTGGATGATCCTTATAGTTCTAGTTTTGATTGGCAAGAGTGGCCTTTAGTTGAGATTTTCAAAAGGCTGAATTATGTAGTACTAAGTTCTAATTTCACAGTATTGCACAGAAAAATTTGATAACTGTGCTAAATTGACTTCATGATGTAATATAAATAGAAATCTGCCAGATAATCCATTTTTAGAGAAACAACATTTCAGGTAACTTTTGCTAGCTCCATTAGCCATGTGCTTTACTTTTAAAATGAAAATAGGTATTTCTCAGTTAGTTTGTTATAATTTTATTTTTTTATTTTCCTTAGGATATCAGCTGCAATGAGATTCAGGTCCTTCCCCAACAAATGGGGAAATTACATTCACTTAGAGAGCTAAATATAAGAAGAAATAATCTTCATGTGTTGCCAGATGGTAAGATGCTCATTATTTTTACTGAAATGAATAAGAGAGTAACTGTGTCAAATTTAATTTAATTATCTTTCATTTCTGAACAGAATTAGGAGATCTTCCCTTAGTCAAGCTGGATTTCTCTTGTAATAAAGTGACCGAAATCCCAGTTTGTTATAGGAAGCTGCATCATTTACAAGTAATGATTTTGGATAACAATCCATTGCAAGTTCCACCAGCGCAGGTTTGTAAGAAAAAAAATACTTGTTTCTTCTCTTTTTATTCATAATTATGCATCAAATTGATAAATCAAAAAACATCAGAATTAGAAGTCAGTTTATTGTTGAGGCTTTATTATCTAAGGGAACTTTTCTGAGAAGTGACTCTTGCACTTTGGTAGGAGTTTTAGCCTAGCTTCTAGAGAAGAGGGTTTTGAAAACCCAGATCTGGGACGCCTGGGTGGTTCAGTGGTTTAAAGCCTCTGGGATCGAGCCCTGCATTGGGCTTTCTGTTCAGCAGGGAGCCTGCTTCCTCCTCTCTCTCTGCCTCCCTCTCTGCCTACTTGTGATCTCTGTCAAATAAATAAATAAAATCTTAAAAAAAAAAAAAGTTAAAAAAAAAAAAAGAAAGAAAACCCAGATGCATAGTTCTGTCAGTGTTCTTTTAAAAACAGACTGTGTAGTCTCTCTACCTCTGCCCAACTCAGGTATATGTCTATTTGACTTTTGTTGTACAATTGATTGTAACACATACTTAGCATTCATAGATGGAATCCTAACAGAAAGAAGATATGAGTGGAAAAGTATTAATTCAGCCTTTGAGTTGGAGGATTAAATCCACGTGAAGTCTACTGAAATGATAGTAGAAGAATATACTAAGCTACAAACCCATAAGGCCAAGGAATGAGAGAGAAGAGGGCTGCAGGGGAGAGATGGCAACAGAATTTTGGAAAATGGAAGACAGATGAAATAGCAGAAATTAGGGTCTTACACTCCCACAAGAGAATCTGGCCACGGAAGCACATGACAGTGAAATGCCAACCCCTTCTCTACTTCCAAGCTATGTTCCCTCAGTCAGGGTTTGCATCCAGAAGAAGGGTTGCCTTTTTCTTTCTACAAAGGTACATTCCACTCATTCCAAAGGAGTTGCTTTTTCTAATTCAAATAAAGGCTGGCTGGGGTGCTGGTAGTAGCTGGCTGAGCAGGACAAGGAAAACTGAAGCTTGGATCTGCTATGGGAGAAGGCAAGAAGAAGAAGTTTGATTTACTTGTTAAACCTGGGAATGGCTTGCATGTTGGAGGAAAACATATAACTGAATAGAAAGAAGAAAGACTGAAAATATGAAGGTCTGTAGAATGTCTAAGGCAGTGCTATCCAGCAGAACTTCCTGAATTATAGGAATGTTCTATAATTTGTGCTGTCTGATACCATTGGTTCTTGCCACATGTGGCTTTTGAGTTCTTGAAATATGGCTTATGCGACTAAGGAACCAAAATTTAAATGTAATCTTATTTTGATTAATTTAAAATTAAGTAGCTTTGTGGCGCCTGAGTGGCTCAGTGGGTTAAGCCTCTGCCTTCGGTTCAGGTCATGATCTCAGGGTCCTAGGATTGAGCACTGCATCGGGCTCTCTGCTCAGCAGGGATCCTGTTTCCCCCTCTCACTCTGCCTGCCTCTCTGCCTACTTGTGATCTCTCTCTGTCAAATAAATAAAATCTTTAAAAAATAAAATAAAATAAAATTAAGTAGGTTCACATGACTAGTGGCTACCATATTGGACACGACAAGTCTAAGATTTACACCCTCAGATTGTTGCCCTTAGCTCTGCAGTGACGCAACTAGCCCTCACTTGCCTTAGCAGAAGCCTGGGTTTATTTGGTAGTAGAATAGTCAGGTAGAGTCTCTCAGATTCTCTCCCTTGGCTCAGCAGCCAAAGGACTATTGTTTCTTGCCTCAGCAGATTATTTTATTGGTCATAATATGGTAAATACTACATTTTGATTTAATGAGAAACTGTGACATAGTTAAAATAATAGCAAAGATACATCTACTGCTTACTGTGTTTCAGGCGCCATTGAAATGCTTTACATGCATTAATTTAATTCTTACAGTAACCCTATAAAAGATACTATCATTATTCCTCATTTTATTTATTTATTTATTTATTAAAAAAGATTTTATTTATTTGTTTGGCAGAGATCACAAGTAGGCAGAGAGGCAGGCAGAGAGAGAGAGAGAGAGAGAGAGAGAAGGAAGCAGGCTCCCCGCTGAGCAGAGCACCTGATGCGGGGCTCGATCCCAGGACCCTGAGATCATGACCTGAGCCAAAGGCAGAGGCTTAACCCACTGAGCCACCCAGGCGCCCCATTCCTCATTTTATATATGAGGAAACAGGCATCAAAGTTAAGGGACTTATTTAGTGCCACATAGCTAGCATGTGGTACGGCTGGTTTCAAACCAAGGCAGTCTGATTCAAGTCCACGCTCTAACAACTATGCTATGCTTCTGAAGGAGGAAGCAAGTTGATAGGGATTGAAGATGGGATGATGGTATGGTGTTGATGATACATGATTAGTGGTGGTAGTGGTAATGTAAGAAATCTAAGTCTTCATTTTCCTTAGACCTTAATAAATAAGATCCATAACTAAATTAAACAGTAGAACCATGTTACTGGTACATATAAAGGTAACAGGAAACCAACTAAAAGTTGATGTGTGCGGACTAGGTCTTGGAGATTGAAAGGGTTGGATTAATTTTTTGTTACCAATTTTAGAATTCTCTTTGAGTTTAAAACTGTGTACATGAATTACTACAATAAGAAATTTATGAAAGGGGGCACTTGAGTGGCTCAGTCGGTTAAGAATGTGACTTCAGTTCAGGTCATATCTCAGGGTCCTGAGATTGAGCCGTGCATAGGGTTCCCAGCTCAGTTAGGAGTCTGCTTGTCCCTCTCCCCCTCCCCCTGCTTTTGCGTGTGCCCGCGCGCACACACTCTCTCTCTCTCTCTCAAATAAATTTTTAAAAAATTTACAAAAGAAAAGAATTCACCAGTATTTAATTTGACAATGAATGATGATTATTTTTTGGTTTATACAGATAATGGGATATATTTTAATTCATAATATATTTATATTCTAATAGCTCAGAAGCTTTTCCTTTTAAATGAAATTTTTCAGTGGTCAGGTCAGATTTGGTATCTATTAGAATTATCTAAGAAACATTCTTCCTTTATACCAGGAATGATAATTACCTTTAAATTTACTTTTCTTAAGACTGTTTTGTTTCTTACTGTTTTCTTTTTTTTTTTAAAGATTTTTTTTTTTATTTGACAGAGAGATGTAGCGAGAGAGGGAACACAAGCAGGGGGAGTGGGAGAAGGAGAAGCAGGCCTCCCGCTGAGCAGGGAGCCCAATGCGGGGCTCCATCCCAGGACCCTGGGATCATGACCCAAGCCGGAGGCAGACATCTAATGACTGAGCCACCCAGGCGCCCCTCTTACTGTTTTCTTTGTTGATTATTTTTGCATATATTTGTAGGTTATGTAGGCCCATAAAACTAAACATTTTTGATTATAGTTTTCTTTTTTTTTAAAGATTTTATTTATTTGAAAGAGGGAGAGTTAGAGAGGGAGCACAAGCATGGGAAGTGAGAGAGGGAGAAACAGGCTTCCTGAGTGGGGAGCCTGATGTGGGGCTTGATCCTAGGGCCCTAGTATCATGACCAGAGCCAAAGGCAGATGCTTAACAGCTGAGTCACCCAGGTGCCCCATCTTCCAGTGTTTAGACCAAACAGCTTAGTGGTTCTGAAAGATTACTTTTTTTTTTAAAGTTTTTTTTTTTTTTTTAATTTACTTGAGAGAGAGCACGAGAGAGAGCAAGGGCAGGAGGAGGGGCAGAGGGAGATAGAGAAGCAGACTTCCCACTGAGCAGGGAGCCTGAGGATGCCAAAGATGCCAAGGATCCCCGGCTCTAGGCTCTATCCACGACCCGATGATCCAGGACCCCGGCGTCACAGCACCAGCTGAAGGCAGATGCTCAACTGACTGAGCCACCCCGGTCCCCCTGATAAGACTACTTTAAGGAATTACATGGGTTATTTTTTTTTTTCTTGTTCTTATCAGTGCAATGAATATATTTCTTCTCACTTTTTTCTAATAAAAGCTACTTTTATGAGTTATAGATTTTATATTATTTGGTGGTTTGTATATTGTACTTTTAACAAGAGAACTTTAGTGATACACAGAAAAATTAGCTTATTTCTGGTAAGAATAGAAACAGTGAAAGAATTTTAGTTGGTATCATTGTCAAATGTTTTCATTAAGTGTCAGCCGTAGAAATTATTCAAATATGTGAAGTGTCTATTATGATTGTGATGTCTCAGCATAATTTCAGGTTATTAAAATATATAAATAAGTTGGTAGGTAAAACTTATATTTGGACCTATGTAATTAAATCTACTTTCTCAATTATTTATTGACAGATATGTTTAAAGGGTAAAGTTCACATATTTAAATACTTAAATATCCAAGCATGTTGCAGAATGGATAAGAAACCAGATTCTCTGGACCTTCCATCATTAAGTAAAAGAATGCCCTCCCAGCCTCTCACAGACAGGTAATGTAATATTCTTACAATCCCTTTTCATGGTTAGTGTCTTCTCTGTATGTAAAAGATATTTATTAACCTTGAGTGCACCGAATATATTTAGGTTCATTGGCCCAGTGTTAAAATCAATAATTGACTGATGTGAAATCTCACCATCATAGAATGAACCTCTGTGATAATAGAATAAATTTGGGATTTTCTCAAAATATTAATTAGTACTAATATTTTAGTAGTAAAATGTAAATGTTTGACATTATAGTACAGAGACACTAATTTTTCAGGACTCGACAACTGTTAATTTACTACTATTATCACTTTATTGTACCAACCAGTATTGTAATAACTAGCAGAATTTGACTTTGAACTGCAGTTAGTGGAAGTGCAAGACATTTTGGGATACCTTTTTTCTTCGTATTCTTTATTCTCTATGTCTAGATCAAAGGTGATTTATCATTGATATTCTGTATGATATGAAAATTTCCTCCTGAGATTTTGAAATGGTTTATTTGATTATCTGTTTTTAATTATCTTTTGGGGATGTAGGTTGGTCTGAAAGATTTCGTGGAAACGTAATTCTGTCCATTAGTATGGAAAATAATTTGGAATGAAGTGAGACTACAGAAAGGAAGACTGTACTCTTCCCTAAAATGTTTAAAGACTTGTTATTTTATTTGTGCCAAAATTTAGACTAATTAGAATGGCAGTATTTTAAGTACTGTTCTTGATTTCCCAAATAGGACATTTTCTTGAATGTTTCTGTTGCCTAAGTAGAATTAAGTATCTTAACATTATATTTAATTCCTAAAGATTAATTTGTTTAATATTATGAATATAATAGAGCAAACAATTCTACAAAAACTAGACTTTTTTCATAGTCTAATCTATTAGTTTGCTTTATATTTATTTAAAGATGAATTTACTTTAGTAAAGGCATTCATTGTACTAGTCATTTATTTATTTTACAAATAACAGTTGGGGAAAAAAAAAAACAGTATCAGACGATTGCCTACTGGTAGGTTCAGGGTATGTTTTGTTAAATGATATACACCTTGATGTTGGCCCTCACGGAGTCCACAGTATAGTGGAGGAGTCAGTCAGCAAAGCAAATAAATCAAATAGTCATACACACTTAAATTTCAAATTGTGTCAAGTGCTGTGAAGGAAAGGAACACATTTCAGGAGGGTGGTCAGGGAATGTCGCTTTGGGAAGGTGAGGTTAAAACCTGAAAGGAGAAAGCTAGCTGTGTAAAGATGAAGGAGAAGAGCATTTCAGGCAAAAGAATGACATGTGGAAAGGCCTTAAGTTAGGAAGAAACTTGGTGTGTTAAAGAAACTGAAAGGCCAGCATGATTGGAGCAGAATGGCTGAAGGGTACGGATATACAAGTTGATTTTGGAGAAATAGTCAGGGCTCAAGTCATGTGGGTGTTCTGGAACTGTGGTAAGGAGTTTGAATTTTACTTGTAGTACAACAGTAAGTCGGTGGACAGTTATAGGCAGGGGAATGATCCGATTTATGTTTTTAAAAGGAGGTATTTTGGCTCTTGTAAGGAGAATAGATTGGAAATAAGCAGAAGCACAGGGACTAGTTGAGTTTTGAAGTACTTCCAAGAGAACGAGGGGTCTTAAACAGGGTGACTGTAGTAGTGATGAAAAGGAGTGGACAGGACTGAGACATATTTTGGTGATAGTCTCTAGCAATGATATCCAATAGAAATGTAATATAAGCTACATATGTAGTTTTGCATTTTCTTATAATCCATTAAAAAAAGTAAAAATGAAACAGATGAAATTAATTTTAATAGTATGTTATTTAGGGATGCCTGGGTGGCTCAGTCAGTTAAGCATTTGCCTTCAGCTCATTTCATGATTCCAAGGTCCTGGGATTGAGTCCCACATCCCGCATTGGGCTCCGTGCTTAGTGGGGAGCCTGCTTCTCCTTCTCTCTCTGCCTGCTGCTCTCCCTGCTTGCGTGCTCTCTCTGACAAATAAATAAGATCCTTAAAAAAGTAATGTTATTTAACCCAGTATATCCAAAAGATCATTACAACTTATATTTCTTATAAAATGTTAGTAAGGTACTTCATGTTCTTTTTCTTTCTATTACATCATTTAAATCTGGTGTGTATTTTTCGTTTATAGCACATTTCAATTTAGACTAGCCACATTTTAAGTGCTCAGTAACTATATATGTTGGCTAGTGGCTACTATATAGAATAGTACAGGATAATAGAGCCTTCCATACCTTGAGTATTTTGTAAATTCTTATTCTACATAGGTAAGCATTATAGTAGTTAAGCATATCAACTTTTGGAGTTAGACATAAATGCCCATGAAGTCCTTCTCCAGCTCTTGGTAACTTTATGTCCTTGTATCATAATGTCTTTAGTCCTTAGTTTTCTTATGTGCAAAAGGGAAAATAATCATATGGATGCTGCCAGGATTAAATTAAATAATGTATATAGAGTACTTAACACAATGCCTTACCAAAACAATTCCTCAACAAATAGCTTATTACTATCATTGTCAACTATTACAAATACACATATATTTTAGTATAGTACATGGATATATTATTGTGCAGTGGCGTCAGATGGATTTTGCTTCCAATCATGGTTTAACCTCTTAAATCCACTGTAGACTGTGTAAATTATTTAATCTTTCTGAGCCTGTTTATTTAAAGTGTTAACAATACCCACTTCATAAGCTTGTGAGAATTAAATGTGTGTGTGGCAACGAGTTCAAGAAATGATATTCAGTAAATGTTACATTTTTTCAGGGCACCTGGGTGGCTCAGTCGGTTGAGCATCTGCCTTTGGCTCAGGGTCATGATCGCAGAGTCCTGGGATGAGCCCTGCATTGGGCTCCCTGATCAGCAGGAAGCCTGCTTCTCCATTTCCCGCTCCCCCACTTTTCTCCCCGTAAAGTTAAGCTTCATTATCCTCACTCGTAAAAAGAAATAATGCATAAATTGTAGAGTGTAAGGATTATAAATAAGATATGATGTGTACCTGGCACATTAGGTAATACAGTGTAGACACTCAATAAATGCTAGCAAGTATTGCCTCTCTTTATCCTTCAAGACTAAGCTCAAATGCCACATTCTTGGGTGAGGCCATTCCTAAACTTATCAAGAATTGATTCTCTTTTCTCATAGTACTTTATATTTGCCTTTGTCTTAGTCTTCAAAATATATATACATACTTCCTCTCTGGGCTGGGAGCCCTTTGAGGTCAAACATTTTTTAATTCATCTCATTTCATTTCAAGCATTCAGCATAGTGCCTGACACTTACTTGGTAGTTGCTTACCTGAGTTTATCGATACACTCCTGGAATGTGTGCATATCAGTATTTGGGGAAGAAATATAGCATAGTGATTAAGATCAGGGACTTTAGTGTTAGATTCTTGGGATCAAATTTAAAAAGCCATTCGTAAATTGCGGGTCATTGGGTAACTTGTTCAATCCGTCCTGGCCTGTTTCTTTACCTGCAAAAAGAAAACACCAATGTGCTAGAATTTAAACAAGGCATATATGAGGTATCACCTTTAAAGCACTTAGCCTAATTCCTGGCACATAAAAAATGGTCTGTATAGAGTGTATGCAAGTTTACATGTATGTAAATTGCAAAGTAAAGTGAAAAATACTTTGCAGCCTGGGTGGCATACTGTTGTGTAATTCAGAAATTTGCAAGGATAGCTCTATCCTCATACCAAAACAATTGTTCATTCAATTCTTTGCTGACTTTCTTTTTCTTTCTTTTTTTTTTTTTTTTTGCATTTTTCTCTTAATTTTCAGATAGGCATTATTTATAAAGCTAAAGCTTATTTTTAGAGCTAATGAAGAAACTATGAATTGTAGTTAAAAAATATTTCAACGTTCTATGGTGAAATGTGTAAAACCAGAAAAATAGAAAGCTCTTTCATTAAGGTTATTTTCTAGCAGGACTCTCTGCTTTTCTGATTCTCTCAGGAGAAGTAATAGTTATTCTTAACAGTCGACACTTTACAGATTTTATTTATTTATTTTTTTAGAGAGAAAGGGCATGTTCATGCTGGGTGGGGGAAGGAGCAGAGGTGGAGGGAGAGAGAGGGGGAAAGAATCTCAAGCAGACTCCCTGCTGAGCGTGGAACCTGATGTAGGGCTGGATCCCACAAGCCCGAGATCCTGACCTGAGCTAAAACCAAGAGTCAGACACTTCTGACTGAGACACCCATATGCCCCAACAATTGACACTTTACAACAGAGCACATGCAGGGAAAATATTACACGAGGTTTATAAGTAAAATATTTTATAGGAAGATTTCTGATATTTTCCCTTAAGGATCTTAGACATCAAGAGAGTATATTCTATATTACCTAGGGAAATTTTAGGTCAAGTCTGTATTTATTTAAGAAGAAAACCCTAATTGCCCTTAGAATTTCTATTTCCATAGTATGGAGGACTTTTATCCAAATAAAAATCATGGCCCTGACTCTGGAATTGGAAGTGATAATGGAGAGAAACGATTATCTACAACGGAAGTGAGTCTTTTCTATTGCTGATCTATTTTATTTTAAAAGTTTGTCAGAGTTTTGAAATATGTAGACACTTGTACATACTTGATTTACTTTGCTTAAGAAATATCATTATTACATTTTATGACTTCAGATGAAAAAAGGACATGTACATTTTTAGAAGCAGAGCATTGCTATTACCATAATATTTTTTGGTTTGAGAACTGGAGATGTAAAGCAGATATTCTATTATGTGGAATTAAGACAACTTAATCCTCTTCTATGTTTAAAATGCCTCATTTGTACTTTGTGCTTATTCTTTTCAGCCATCAGATGATGACACAATAAGCCTTCACTCTCAAGTCTCAGAGTCAAATAGAGAGCAGACGTCAAGAAATGACAGTCACTCAATAGGAAGTAAACCTGATTCTCAGAAAGGTAATTCATATGGTACCTGCTAATTTTATTTCATGTATATTGCTCTTATTAAAAATGCATTTTGAAAAATTTTAGAATCTTCAGTCAGTTCTTTTATTGAAAAAATAGACTATTATTCTAAACAATACAGTATGAAAGTACACTGTTTACTATTTATATTTTCTAACAAATATTAATCTGTAATTAGACCAAGAGGTGTATGATTTTATTGACCCCAACACAGAAGATGTGGCAGTTCCTGAACAAGGAGATGCACATATTGGATCATATGTCTCTTTCCTTAAGGTAAAGAAAACTTTGAACAAATACTAATAGCATACTTTCCTTGATCTTGTGAAAGTATACCACATAGATTTAAAATTATAACTTTCTTTTATATAAGGGGAAAGAAAAGGGTCCTGAGAAATCTCAGAAAAATGAAGAATTGGGAGATGAAAAAAGGTAAGCATATAGGAATTCTCAAATTGAAATGTTACTTATACATGAAATACTTGTTAGGTATTCCTACTTGAGAGTACTTTGGAAAAATTTAATTTTTGGTTCATTTACCTTTCAGATAGTTAATTTATAACTACTTCATTTGTCTGCATTCCTCAATTAAACTGAAAATTATAGTAAGCAATTAAGCTGAGTGTAGTATATACATTTCCCCTGCCTCCCAGAAGTGTAATTCTCCTATTATTATTACCGAGGAGGACTGTATTTTCACATACATTGCTTCATTTGAGCTCTTTAGCAACTCTTTAAAATAGGTGAATTTTTTTTTTTTTTTTTTTTTTTTTTGCATCATTTAGTCAATAAGGAAACAGACCTGCAGTTTCAAGTGTCTGGCACTCAGGTCTTCCAACTCTTGGTCTAATACACTTTCCATTTCATCAGGCTGGTTATAGTAATTTTATGGGTATTTATCCCTGTATTTTATTAAAATCATTCCACTTTGGATCTTTTCTGTATCGTTTATCTTATGAAATGCTGGAATATGACTTGCCATATTTAGTCACTCCTTAAAGTTGCTTCGTAGCTGTAGGAAGGAAAGAAGGATCATTTGTTGAATACCTGCCATGTACCAGGATCTGTGCTATGTGCTTTCCCATGTTTCTTACTTATTTTTATTAAAAAAAATTTTTTTTTTAACAGTTTAAAAAAATTTTTTTAGCAGTCTGTACACCCAACATGGGGCTGGAACTCATGACCCTGAGATCAAGAGTAGCATGCTTTTCCAACTGAGCCAGCCAGGTGCCCCTAAGATTTTTTTTTTTAAGTTCTATTTATTTAATTTCTCTACCCAACATGGGGCTCGACCTCATGACCCCACGATCAAGAGTCATATGCTCTTCCAACTGAGCCAGCCGGATGCCCTTCATGTTTCTTATTTAATCTTTACTAAATCCTACAGGGTTGATACTGTTTCTATTTTTACAGATAAGGAAGGGGGAAGCTTGGAGCCTTTAAAGTTTCCTGCCTAGAACCACTTAGATAGTGTCCACTAGCACCTAGGGTGTGAATATAACTCTCTCTGATCCCTAAGCTTTTCTCTTTTCTCTACATTGTGCTTCCTCCAAGTGACCTCACTGGTAACTTTTTAATCAGTTATGAATTAGTCATCTCTGGTACCCCATAAGGTGGTACATTGCTTTGTCTTGTACTCTTTATATTTCATTTTTCTCTTACTTTCTCATCTTATCTCATGAAGACAGTTGTATTAACTTGAGTGTCACAGTGGCATATAAGATATAGTCAAGATACAAAGTCTTAGGATTTGATACTTTGTTTTAAGTGAAATACTTTTGGGATAAAATTACTAGAGTTTGGAGAACAACTTACTTAAAAATTCCTTTGTTCTTTATGAATGATTAAAAATTATGTATTTTAATGAGCATTTTCGTGCAAATTTGCCAGTCTTACTTGTACCTGTTTTGTATTTCTTCTACTCAAACATTTTACATGGAGAATTTTAACATTATGATGAATAAACTGATAAAAGTAGGGTGGTTTAGTAAAATTTTCATAGCACTTGATATTTATAAAGTCAGGCATATTAAAGCTTTGTAGTTCTTATTACACTCAAGACTGGGGAGTATGCATTGTTAAATTATAAGAAATTACAAAATGGTAATACAGTTTACTTTGTTAGCCATTAATTATATTAATATCACCAGTATGGTACATTTCCTATTGAATAGAAGTTAGATATGTTTTCATATTCCTTAAATATTCCTTATTCCTTATTTTAATATTTTAAATACAAGGACATTAGGATTTTAGCTTTTTACATGATATTAGAAATGAAAAAGTGGTTTCTGTTTCTGGAAGCTGGCATAAAATATCATCTGCCTTACATTTTGGATAACCATGTTTGTGTCACCTTTCAGACTTGGGAAAGAACAGTTACTTGCAGAGGAAGAGGATGATGATTTGAAGGAAGTAACTGATTTGAGAAAAATAGCCGCTCAGTTATTGCAGCAAGAGCAGAAGAACAGGTATTTTTTCAGTAATGAGATTTAAATAGGCAGACTTTATAATCATTAAGTGATTATCAAAGACTATCAAATGAAGTTTCCAGTAAACAATAGGACCATCTTAAGATCTATGTTTAGGGACTAACTACTAAAAGACAATAGGGAATAATTAGGAGAAAAGTGTAAAGTTAATGTACACAATTGACATATACTTTATATTCACAGTCATTTTATTTAATTATTGTGTAGGTATCTCTTTTATTCTTGTGTGCTAAATAATAATAACTGATTTATTTGTTGATAATCCTTTTAGCTCACAATAACAGATATATTATAAGTGTTACCCCCTAAGTACATGTCATGTGTATGTAGTGCACTTTTTATCAGATTCCAGATTACTTGGGATATGTGTAAACTCCTTAAAATTGAATGGAACTTTATAATGGTTGATTTAATCAGCATGATGATTTGGAGGTCACAGGTTCACTTTGGTGTGTTCCTTGGTCAATGACGATTTTTCCCTCTGGCTAGGCTTTCCTTACATGCCATTGGCAATAAGGAAGATGTATGAATGACGATAGAATCGGTGCAAGTCCATTTTTAATACAGAAGTTCTCTGTGCTGCTGAGGGTCAGCTATTACGCCATCTTCACGTACTGAGAGTACTATATTTATAGTTCTGAAATAATAAAGGAGATTTGAGTGTTTTTTTGTTTTGAGAAAACTAAAAGAATAATTTTGTTAAATTTATCATGGGTAGCTAATAAGTACTTTACTTCTCTTAACCAAAACAATAAATGTTTGTGGGTCACATGACCATGTTTTGGAACGTTAAAAATTTAAGTACACTGGCATTTGCTTTTAGATATGCTTTGAAAAATAATTACTATTGAAACTTATCAAATTGCAAATGTCTGTTTTTAAGGGCCACTATATTTTTTAATAATTACTGATTATTCTTTTTTGTGCAACTACTACATTTATAGAATTAAATCCATACTAGAAAATATCACTCTTCTTTATTCCTTCTATATCTAATGTATCCTCATTCCCAGTTCACGTTTTTCTTCTACTATAACTTTCTGTCACCCTTTTCTCTGAAATTCATTTTCTGATCTTTTCCTATCATTCTTTTCTAATGGGCCTTTTTTTATATTGGCTACTTGTGAGGTTATGTATGTTTTTCTCCCTCCAGTATAATCAAAGTATTGGTTGTCCCCATGGTTTAAGAGGTTTATGAAGCAAGCCACCACCTGCTCTATGTGGCTTAAAAAATAGTTAAGTTTCTGTCTCTTCTACCCAATAGTTGAAATGATTGTATTTATCATTATGAGCAGAGAATACTGATTTTAAAAGAACCCACAGCAATATTTATTTCTCTGATTATGTTAAAAATAGTATTGGAGGGCATAATTTTAGATTTTAACAATATCATATATATCATTTCTATATTTTTCAGTTTTCTACTATTTTTCTTGTCTTCCTATAACTTGAATTATTCTTTTTGGTTTAGAAACAATATCAAGTGATGTTTTGTAGGTTTTATTGTGATAGTTTTGTAATCTGTAAAAAATAACACCTAGCACTGTGCCTTGTACATGGTAGGTACTCAGTAATACTGTTATTAGTTAATTGATTGCTTGAAGATGAGATTAACAAATTTAAAGCTAAAAGGAACCATTAATTTAGTTATGTTCATTCTGAATAACTTGTTATTTTTTTAGATGTATGCGAAAGTAATTTCTCTATATCTGCTCTTTCTCTTCATCAGCCATTTCAGACATTAGCACACATGGATATAGATCTTTTGATGCAGTGACACTAATGTAATAATTATGTCTTATTTTGGAAGGCCTTAAAATATTTATGAGATCTGGTCATAATGTAAAGAGCACATTTTACTTTTAAAAAATCTGTAATTTATAGACAATTTAAATTAGATCCTTAGCCAGTTCTCTTCTGTTAATGGCTGAACTTAAACTGATCTCAGAAGTTTTGTATGCTGATTTTCTCCACTAAATAATTTCTTCTCTTCTTCTAAAATATGTTGCTGTTGCTCACATCTCTTAGATGCAGATAATTAAAATTTTTGTTTGCTATTACAGTACTTGATTTGAGTGAGTCCAAAAAAATCAAAAGTAATCTTCTATAAAGATATATCCATCCCTTAGAGGATTTGATGTTAATTGTACCTTCTCTGGTTATAGATTTTCTCTTTCACACCATATTGTGCTTTTGATTCCAATTTTATTAATGAAAAATCTGAAATGCTATTTAAAATTGCAAGTCAGGGATGCTTGTGTGGCTCAGTCGGCTAAGTGCACATCTCTTGATTTTGGCTCAGGTCGTGATCTCAGGGTCATGAGATCAAGCCCTGCATCAGCCTCCATGCTCAGAGTGGAGTCTGCTTGAAATTCTTTCTCCCTCTCCCTTTGCCCCGCCCCCTGTTTATATGGGTTTTTCTCTCTCTAAGTAATAAATCAATAAAATCTTAAAACAAAATAAGATTAAATTCTAAATCAGGAGTTATAACATTTCACTTAAAGTTTTAAAGTCATTATAATGTTTTTGTTTATTGTCTTGATTTAAAAGGATTTATGTGGAGTAAAATTACCCTCGCATATCAGAAAGTACCACCTAGAACTCCTCCTCTGACTCTATGCTCCTTAACTATTCTTTAGCTAGCTACTAGTTGAAGGTAAATGTAGTGTTAGCTATCAGCTGAAAGAAGCCATGCATGTACTCCCAAATTAAAGGCAATTAAAAAACTGCTTAGAATGAAATCAGTGATCGGGGCGCCTGGGTGGCTCAGTGGGTTAAGCCTCTGCCTTTGGCTCAGGTCATGATCCCAGGGTCCTGGGATCAAGCCCCACATCGGGCTCTCTGCTCAGTGGGGAGCCTGCTTCCCCCTCTCTCTCTCTGCCTGCCTCTCTGCCCACTTGTGATCTCTGTCAAATAAACAAATAAAATCTTAAAAAAAAAAAAAAAAAAGAATGAAAACATTTATAGTTCTCTTTTTTTTTTTTTTTTTTTTAGAGTTTTTATTTATTTGACAGAGATCACAAGTAGGAGAGATGTAGGCAGAGAGAGAGAGGAGGAAGCAGGCTCCCTGCCGAAGTAGAGAGCCCGATGTGGGGCTCCGTCCCAGGGCCCCGGGATCATGACCTGAGCTGAAAGCAGAGGCTTTAACCCACTGAGCCACCCAGCGCCCCCAATGATCATTTTCTTAAGGAAACTTTGCCAATTGTTTAGTTCATACTATTCTTAAAGGTGTCTTCTATTCTTTAAGCAAATTTGTACTAGTACTTGGAGGATAAAACTACCCTAGGAAAATAACAAGAGGGTATTGCACAGAATAATAGTGAAAAAGGGTGGGAAAGAAAAAAAAAAAAAGGGTGGGAAAGGAGATGAAATAAGCTATCAAGTAGATAACTCACAAGTGTTCAAAGTCTGAAGGCCGGTTTTTAGAAGACTGCTCCCTCTTTGAGATGCATAGATTAAGCTACTTTGTTTTGACAGTTTATTGTTGAATATTTAGAAGCTAATCTTTACCCCCTTGTTAAAGTACTGGATTATTTCTACTTGTATTTGGGTGTATCGAAGTCCCTCTGAATCAGTGAAGCTCCCTATATTAAAAATAGCTATTCTGCAAGTTTTTAATCTTCACTGTAATTTGGGAAATTAAAAAAAAAAACTATCATCTTAAAAAATTATCTTAACTGTTTTATTCTAAATTATTTAGCTCATTTTTCAAATGTCCACCAACACTCTTATCTAATTATTAGAGAAATAGCTACTGTTCTTTTTTTTTTTTTAAAGATTTTATTTATTTATTTGACAGACAGAGATCACAAGTAGGCAGAGAGAGAGGAGAGAAGAGGAAGCAGGCTTCCTGCTGAGCAGAAAACCTGATGGGATCATGTCTTGAGCTGAAGGCAGAGGCTTTAACCCACTGAGCCACCCAGGCACCCCTTCTTTTTTTTTTTTTTTTAAGAATTTATTTATTTTGGGGGAAGGGGCAGAGAGAGAGGGAGGGAGAGCGTCTCAAGCAGGCTCTGCACTGAGCATGGAGCCCAACTTGGGGCTTTATCTCATGGCCCTGAGATCAAGACCTGAGCTGAAATCAAGAGTTGGACACTTAACTGACTGAGCCACCCAGGTGCCCCCTGTTCATTTCCTTTCTTTCTTTCTTTCTTTCTTTTATTTTAAGATTTTATTTACTTATTTGACAGAGATAGACAGCAAGAGAGGGAACACAAGCAGGGGGAGCAGGAGAGGGAGAAGCAGGCTTCCTGCTGAGCAGGGAGCCCGATGTGGGCTTCTATCCCGGGACCCTGGGATCATGACCTGAGCTAAAGGCAGCTCCTTAACGACTGAGCCACCCAGGCATCCCCCCACCATTCATTTTCTTATACAGATATTCTTATGTGGCTGAATAAGTTGATGTTTATCTGGCTTCTTAAAATTTGTGTGGTTATCATCATAAAGAGAGGATTACAATATCTATGGGCTTTTGCAATGAATAACTTCAGTTGACTGGTTCCCATTGCATTTTCATTCCTGCTAACTTGTATAGTATTTTCTATTATGTTTTTCTTTTTAATAATGATTTTATTTGCTGTTAAGTGTGTCCTTAGAGTTTTCACTTATTGTGGAAAAATGTACTTCTTAGTACTCTGTAATATGGCTAAATAAAAAAGTAATTCTGAAAAGTTATATTGAAGTATAATTAAGGATCATGGAAAGGAAAATCACATTTTGAGAAGTTTATTATTTTGGTTTAGAATGATAGGAATTATATACATACCCTATTTCATGTGATTTTTTTTTTTTCTTACCATATATATGAATGTTTCAGTTTGAGGGGGGCATCATGTTAACCTCTAGCTTGTTATAACTAATTAGGTCGTTCTCTCAACCCTTAAAATCTATCCATTCTTTCTTTTCTGCTTGCTTTACTAATGACTTCCCTGTCCTCTCCCAAAACATCTTACTTCTCCCATCTTTTGATTTGGTTGATGTACGGGAAATGTGAATACAGATGGAGGCCTTTGTGTTATAGAGCATCATTCAGTGAAAAATTCTTCCAGAGGACCAGAAGCGCAGGACATGCATCAAGGTATCTAGAGTTTATGGAAGCCTTAAGTATTAAGGGGCCAGGTTGGTGCAGCTGAATTTTATAGTCATTTACTTAAAATACAGTACAAGTAATGGGGTTAGGGAAATGTGTTAATAATCTAGAATAGATATTTAGATAATGTAGGTGTTTATTTTGACTTTGAGTATTACGAATAAAACATTAAATATCCATGTACAAACAAATGTTTACATAGGGGAATTCTCAAGTGTATAAAATACATTTTATAGGTAAATGGATCCCAACTTTGTTTATCTGCTCCAATATGATTTATACACATCAGTAATCACAACGCTAATAAGTGTTGCTTGAGGAGAATTTAGAATTTACCATACTGAGGGCATTGTAGTTTGATCCCTCACCTCCCCCTGTCAATAATTCTGACATTCACCCCTCAGGACAGTTCTTACTGTTACATCTCCTTTTTAAAAACCACTCTTTAAGGATGTATTTCTTCCTAATAGTCCTAGATATTTTTTTACCTTAGTTCTTTTGCATTTTGGGATTAAGTGCAATTTTAGTATATGTTCATAGTAAGAAGAATAAAGGTGTTGTCAATCCAAAATTGTTGGTACAAAGCTACACTGCTTTGCCTGTGATACTTGCCCTTGGCTCCTCACTGTGATTTCCTCCTAGGGAGGCTTTAATCCATCCAAGCTAGTGAGGAAACCGGGCTAATGGAAATTGGTTTCTTTAGGTTAACCATCTTTCTGAAATTACAAACTTTAGCTTACAATATCTTTTAGTAGTAAATATGTAGTTTTAATTTTAAATTATTTTCTCCTCCGTGTTTTGATAGTTGACATCTAAAGTTTTTTGAATAAGACATATTTTATTCCTTATAAGACTAAACTTTAAAATTGAGAAGTTATATTTCAATCTAGAGTAAATAAATATTAAGAACTCTTAAATATTTTAATGAGTTATGCGAAAGAAAGTTGACTTTCAGATTAATACTTAGAATTCTATAAAAATATGGACAAGAGTTCTCTCATGATGGTTTATCATTCTTTTCCTTTTTGTTTTCTACAAATAGCATTTCATTTGGGTATTAAAAGTTTGATAAACTTTTTAAAGAATTGAACTTTAACATGGCTTTACATTTAGAAGGAAGACTTGTTATTTGGCTTTTGGCAAAATGGTCATCTGTTCCATCAACATAACTCATGTCATTTGCTGTGCTGGGAAAATGAAATCAGTCATGATGGCACCTAAACAATCTGCATCTCTTTATTTTCTGTGTCAGCCAAAAGTTAGATGGACAGAGGGCAATAGTATGGTTAGAAGATATCCAGGCCTCGAGAAAAGGTTTATAAAAGAAGATGTGTGGAGGAGTTGGTGAGCTTCATTCCTTCATAATAGCCATGGACATTAGATCTAAATAATATATAAACATTGTTTTCTAGCGGAGAGCTTCATGGACCAGATGCAGTTTATTATGGAGATCTTTTATATCATGTGTAAATACTTTTCTCTTTAATGTATTTTGGAATTAATGTATTGATTTACTTCTAGGATTCTTAATCATTCAACTTCTGTCCCAAGAAACAAGCCAAAACAACAAACTATGGAATGCGAAAAGAGGTATAAAAATATCTTAGTCCTTATATTTAGTAGTTTTTAATGAGACTTGATTCTCTAATAGTGATGTTCCCATATGTGGGCTTTAATTGAGTAAATGATACAGATTTAATATAACTAGATAATTTAATGACAAACTGTGTCCTAGCCACCAGTTCAATTTACTTTTGATATAAACAAATTAAAAAATGCTGATTTGATATCTTTTTCTACTCATACCTGCATTTCGTTGTAATGATAGAAGCATTTATTTACTAACTCATTACTGTTGGGAATAATGTGTTTCTTCATCATTGTGTTTGTTCTCTGTTATTGTTCACTTTTTTATTTCATTTCAATTGGGTTTTACTAAATTCTTCCTTATGAATTCAGGATCCAAGTTAATATATGTGAATTCCAGAGAACCCGAAGACCTTGAAAGTTTCTATTTATTTTGTTGGCAGTTTGAAAGTTTGTATTAGGTTCAATTCCTGGGTCATTCCTGTAGGAGGGTTAAGGTCCAAGGCTGGGTGTAGGGTTCGTATAGAAGTATACACAAAGAGAAGTAACATTTCTTGAATGCTTGTTGTATGCAAACTGTTCTTAGTGGGTTAGATGTCTTATCTCATTTAATCCTCATAATAACTCTATGAAGTTGTTACTCTTGTTACCTCATTTTGTAAGGGAGATAACCGAGGCTCAGAAATTACCATAATTTGCTCAAGGTCACACAGCTAGTAAGTGCCACAGTGAAGATTCAAGCCCAGGTTGTCTGGCTGCAGAACCTCAAGTCTTAACATATGGTAACAGGAACATTTTGCTTTCTTGAGATTCACACATCCCACTGATATCTTTTCCTGGATACCTCATAGTCTAAACTGAACTTATTTTTTCCCAAATTTATTTCTTCTGTATAGTTTGCCTGAGTGTGAATGTACCATTACTCAGTCACCAAAGTCAGCAACTTTGAAATTAATGGAAACTTCTCGTGCACCCCTCCCAATCAGTCAATCACAGAGAATTATAGCTTCTTTTCTATTTTTTTTTTTTTAATTTTTTGAAGATTTTATTTATTTGAGAGAGCACGCACAGAGGGAGGGCGAGAGGGAGAAGAAGACTTCCTGCTGAGCAGAGAGTCCAGATGTGAGGCTCTGTCCCAGGAGCCTGAGATCATGACCTGAGCTGAAGGCAGACGCTTAACCGACTAATCCACCTGGGTGCCCTAAAATTATAGCTTCTTAACATTACTTCCATCTCTCCCAACTTCTTCATTCCTAGCACTGCCATGTTGGTTTAGGCTCCATCCTTTTCCTCCTGGATTACCACAACAGTCCCCAGACATATCTCCATTCTTCACTTTTGCCTACGTTTAAGTTTGTCTTCTGCATCGATGTAAGTGTTGGCTCCAAAACCGTCTGTGACTGTCATTTATTATCTTCTACTGGTTATCACTTTCAGGGTAAAGCTGAAAATGCCTAAGTGAACCCGTAAGATTGAAGTGAGTTTCCGCTTACCTTAAACCTTAATCATGCACTCTTCCACTGGCACGTTTTACTGTTAGGAACAGTAATTTTTCTCTTTATCATGATTTCATATCTGTTCTATATCCTGGTTTCTCTACTGGAATTGCCCTTTCTTTTTTTCACTTAGGCTTTCAGAATTCAGTTCAAAATAAAGATGACTTTTTATACTCAAGTCTAGAAACGTTCCTCTACTCAAATTTCATTAATTGGATTTAACCCACTCCCTCCCTTTTTGAGTACTGATTCTGTTATCTTATATATTTGCTCTCCTTAAAGTTTGTGTTATTACTTTGCTCCTCACTTCTTTTCATTCCCATCTTAAGCTGCCTCCCCGATTCCTGATATTCTCTTGAGAAGGACCCAATTGCCCAAACCTCAAAAGTGTGATACCTAATCCTGACCTCTCTTTCATATAACTATTAGTTCTACTTTTCTCATTTTCAAAACAATCACTCAATTTTTTCTTTAAAAACAAAATTAAAAAAAAGTTTTCTGGTAAGAATTAATGTAGCTTTGGTGCGCCTGGGTAGCTCAGTGGGTTAAGCCTCTGCCTTCGTCTTGGGGCATGATCTCAGGGTCCTGGGATGGAGCCCTGCATTGGGGTCTCTGCTCAGTGGGGAGCCTGCTTCCCCCACTCACTCTCTGCCTGCTTCTCTGCCTACTTGTGGTCTCCCTCTGTCAAATAAATAAATAAAATCTCTTTAAAAAAAAGAATTAATGTAGCTTTATTGTTGCAAAATTACAAAACTTGGCAAACACAAATAAATAAATAAATATCACCTATTTTCCCACTCTCCAGAGATGACAAGTCATAGTATTTTGGTGTTTTTCCCTTTAGAGCCTTTTTCTATCTGTGTGCATAAATATTTGCACATGCATGTGTGTATGTATATACATATACCAAAGAGTTGTATAACCTGTTGCCTACTCAACACCTCCACTTGGATGTATAATAGGCATATGAAACTTTTTATTTTATTTTATTTTTTATTAACATGTAATGTGTTATTAGCCCCAGGAGGCATACGAAACTTAACTTTTCAAATCCACACTCTTAATTCCTCCTTGCACCTCTTGAATTTGTTTTTCCTTAATTTTTTCCCATTTCAAAACATGTCAACTCATCCTTATATTTTTTTATTTTTTTTTTAAATATTTTATTTATTTATTTGAGAGAGAGACAGTGAGAGAGAGCATGAGCGAGAAGAAGGTCAGAGAGAGAAGCAGACTCCCCCGTGGAGCTGGGAGCCAGATGTGGGACTCGATCCCAGGACTCCGGGATCATGACCTGAGCCGAAGGCAGTCCTCCAACCAACTGAGCCACCCAGGCGTCCCTCAACTCATCCTTATAGTTGCTCAGCTCAAAAACCTCAGAGTCAACCATAACATGTCACTTTCTTTCACATGCCATATCTAATCCATTAGCAAATAATGGATTTGCTATTATTTGACTCTGCCTTCAAAATATACCCCAAATCTAATCACATCTTACCACCTCCACACCTACCACCCTAGCCCTCACCATGTCTTCTAAAAATTTTTTTAATTTAATTTTTATTATTTATTTATATTAGTTTTACTTTTTTTTCCTTCTGTGTTCTTGTTTAAATTCAAGTTACTTAACATTTAGTGTAATATTGGTTTCAGGAGTAGAATTTATGGGTTCATCACTTACATACAACGCCTAGTGCTCATCAACAAGTGCCCTCCTTAATACCCATCACCCTACTAGCCCATCCCCCACCCACCTCCCCTCCAGCAACCCTCAGTTTGAGATCTCTGTAGTTAACAGTTTCTTATGGTTTGCCTCCCTATCTGTTTTCCTCCTATTTTACTTTTTCTTCCCTTCCCCTGTGTTCAACTGTTTTGTTTATTAAATTCCACATACGAGTGAAATCACATATTTGTCCTTCTCTGACTGACTTATTTTGGCTCTAGCCGTCTCTTAACTTCAGTTATTAAAAAAAGCCTCCTAACAGGTTTCATGCCCTTGCTTTCCTTTAGTCTGTTTTTCAAAAAAGCATCAGATTTTTATCTTTTGAAATGTAAGTCAGATCATGTCACTCTTCATAATTCTCTAATGACTTCCCATCTCGTTCAAGATAAAAACTAGAGTCCTTTAAGGACTTAGAAACCTCTACGTTATTTGGCTCCCTCCTGTCTTCTTTCTTGCCTGGATCTTCCTGGTTAGTTAGTTGCTCTCTAGCTATACTGGCCTCCTTGTTGCATCTCCATACACCAGGCATTTCCTGCTCCCTCAAGGCTTTTGCCTCTGCCTGAAATGATTTCCCCCTAGATAGCCTTATGGCTTGTTCCCTTGGCTTCCGGTTTCTGCTCAAATTTCACTTCATTAGCAAGGAGTTCCCTGGACAACTTAAATAAAAGAGGATGCCTCCCCACTTCTTTGTCCTTTTTCAATACCCTGTTTTATTTTTGTCCAAGAACGTAATACCCTCTGACATTCCAAATTTATACATTTTTTCCATCTGGCATTCTGAATATATACTACTTTGTTTACTGTTTTTCTTCACCACCACACCACTCCCTTGGCACACTACAATGTCAGTTTTATCAGTTATTGAGAGAAGACTATTAAAATCTCCAGGACTAATTGGGAATTTGGCTTTGATGTTTTGTCATTTTCCCTTCATATAGTCGTATACTCTGTGTTAGATACATAAATATTTAGGACTGTAGTGTCCTCTTAGTAAACTTATGCCTTTGTCATTTTGAAATGACATTTTTTATATTTCTGATAGTTTTCTTTGAAGTCTACTTTTCTGATATTGTATAGTCATCTCAGCTTTCTTTTGATTAGTGTTAACATGATAGATATATCTTTCTCCATCCTTTTATTTTTAACCTACCTGTGTTTTTGTGGAGAACGTTGATTTCTTGTATTTAGCATATGGTAGCACCTTCCTTTTGTATTTAATTTGAGAATCTTAATGGCATTGTTCATATTGTTTATATTTAATGGAATTATTGATATTAATGGATTTAAATCTACCATCTTTTGTGCTTTTGTCTTATCTATTCGTTATACCCATCTTTTCTCTTTTTAATTTTATTTTAAAATTCCCATTTATCTCCTTCATGGCCTTATTAGCTATAATTTTTTGTTACCGTACATTAGTGATTATTTTAGGATTTAACGTATAGTGTTTAACTGGAATGCCTGGGTGGCTCAGTCGTTTAAGCATCTTCCTTTGGCTCAGGTCGTGATCCCAGTGTCCTGGGATCGAGTCTCTTCTCCCTCTGCTTGTGTGCGCTCGCGCTCTCTCTCTCTTTCTGAGCCAAAAAAAAAAAAAGAATAGTGTTTAACTTATCACAGTCTACATTCAAGTGCTATTATGCCATTTCATATGTTGCATAACTTTACAACAGTATGCTTCTGTTTCTTCCTTTTTGGCCTCTGTGGTGGTGTTATTGTATATTTTACTTATATATGTTATAAACCCCATAATACATTGTCATTATTTTTGCTTTAAAGAGTCAATTATTTCTTTAAAGAGATTTAAGTAATCAGAATAATGTCTTTTATCTTTCCTCCCTTAACTATCTCTAGTAGCTCTGTATTTCCATGTATAGTTTTCTTTCTACCTGAAAGAGAAGCTTTAAGACTACTTTTATTACTGGTCCACTCTTGTTGAATCCTTTCAGCTTCTGTATGAGAAAGTCTTAGTTTTGCCTTCATTTTTGAAAGCTATCTTTGCTGATACAAAATTTTAGGTTGACATTTTTGTTTTCTTTCAGCACCTTAAAGAATTTTCTCCTCTGTCCTCTGGATTAGATTGTTTCTTATGAAAATTCTCTTGTCAATGTTTGTTTCATAGAATCTAATGTGTCTTTTTTCTCTGGCTGCTGCTTACAATTTTTTTTTATCATTTATTTTTAAGTAATTTGATTATGAGGTATCTTGGTGTAGTTTTCTTCATTTTTCTTTTGCTTGGAGTTCTTTGAGCTTCTGAAATTTGCGGGTTTATTGTTTTCATGAAATTTGTAAATTTAGGGCCCTTATTTCTTCAAAGATCTTTTCTGTCACCTGACCTATTCTTCTGGAACCCCAATTATATTTATTTTAGGCTACTTAAAGTCTCCCACCAGTCGCTGAGGTTCTGTTCAGTCCTCTTCAATATTTTTCTTTCTGTCTTTGATTTTTCTTTTTAACTTTTTTAAAGCTTTTATTTATTTATTTGACAGAGAGAGAGTGAGAGAGCACAAGCAGAGGAAGCAGGAGAGAGAGAAGTAGGACCCCAGGATCATGTCCTGAGCTGAAGGCAGGCACTTAACTGGCTAAGCCACCTAGGCACCCTCTGCATTTGATTTTTGATAGTTCTTTTACTAAGCCTTTTACTAAGTCTAATCAATTTTTTTTTTAAAGATTCTATTTTTAAGTAATCTCCATACCTAATGTGGGGCTCAAACTTATAACCCCAAGATCAAGCGTCTCATGCTGTGCCTACTGAGCCAGCCAGGCACACCTCTTAAATGTCCAATCTACAGTTAATCCCATCCAGTTTATTTTTATGTATTTTTATTTTTTTGTAATTTTATTTTATTTTTCAGTGTTCCAGGATTCATTGTTTATGTACCACACCCAGTGCTCCATGCATTATGTGCCCTCCTTAATACCTATCACCAGGCTCACCCAGCCCCCCACTATCCAGTTTATTTTTAATTTCAGATGTTCTACTTTTCATCTCTTGAATTTTGATTTTTATCTATTTTATGTCTATTGTGTCTGTACTTAACATATTTAGTCTTTTCTTCTTGCTTCTGAATATTACTTGATTGAATTTTTGATTGAATGCTGGACATTGTGAACTTCACCTTCTTGGGTGCTGGATTTTACAGTATCATTATAAATATTCTTGAACATTGTTCTAGGATGTGGTTAAATTAATTGGCAACAATTTGATATTTGGGGGATTTGGTTTTATAACTTGTTATATGGAATCAGTGTGGCATTTAGTCTAGGACTAGATTTGGCCCCCTACTGGAGGAAGACTTTTCTTAGTACTATAGCTGATGCCCCATGAACTGCATGCTTTTCCAGTCTGGCTGGTGGGAACTGGTATTAATTTATTCATAGTCCTCTCTAAGTCTGAGAATTATTCTGTCTTTCTGGCTATTCGTTCTTTTGCCTAGTGTAGTTTTCTCAGGCATATGATCAGGGCTCAGTACTCTGTTGAAAATATTAAGAATGCTTCTGTAGAACTTTTAAGTTCTTTTTCTGTGCTTTGCTTTTTTTCTCTCTCACTTTGTCCTGTTAATGCCATCCATCTTTTTCACCCTGGCTCCCAGCTTCATCTCCTCAATTCAGGGAGCTCCCTGGACCTTACTTTGTTTCCTCCTCTCTGGGTTAGAAGCTTGGAAACTTTTCCTGCAGCAACCTGATGCAATTATGGGGGTTTCACCTTGTTACCCATCTGTAAGGGATAAAATGTCTTTTTTTTTTTTTTTTTTTCTTGCCTGATACTCAGTGTTCTGGAAAGCAGAATTCTGTATATTTTGTCTGCTCTTTTAGTGTTTTCTGTCAGGGTATAAATCTGATCAATGTTATTCTATCTTGGCCAGACGCAAAGTCTAATTCTTACATTTTGTTATGTTTTGTCAATGTTTAGTTTGTTTCTTTCATATAACTCCCTGCCCCAACATTTAAAAACTTACTGCCCATATTTTTCATATACTTATGTGATTTCATCTTTATTCATACTTAAATCTTTTAGTCATTAACTTTGGTATTTGTTATGAGGTAAGGTAGTTGGTTTTTTCTTCCTCTTTTGCACCCTCTCTCTCTTTTTCTTACTCCCTACCCTCCTCACCCTCTGTTTTTCTTTCTTTCTTTGTGTGTTTTATAATTGGCTAATCAGTTGTCTCAACACTATTTGCTACATAACCTATCATTTCTATGACAATTGTGAATTTCATTTTTTAAATCATAGGTTGTTATATTTGTGGTCCTGTACTTGTCTTCCACTGGAAAATCTATAAATTCTGGATCTCATAATATTTAATTACTTTAATAGAATATATGCAGTTTCCTGGTAGGGAAGTCCCCTTTATTATCTAACTTTTCTCTATCATTTATTCTTCCAAATTAACTTTGAAATTCTTTTATCAAGTCTCTTAATACAAGTCCAGAAATACTTTCTATTTTTTTATTATATTTTATTTCAGCTGCCAAATAATTTGAAATAGTTATACCCATAAAATTTAGTCTTTCTTTTATTTTAAAGATTTTATTTATTTATTTGACAGAGAGAGAGAGACAGCGAGGAAGGGAACACAAGTAGGGGGAGTGGAAGAAGGAGAAGCAGGCCTTCGGCTGAGCAGGGAGCCCGACACATAGGGCTCCAACCCAGGACCCTGGGACCATAACCTCAGCTGAAGGCAGATGCATAGCAACTGAGCCACCCATGTGCCCAATATTTAAACTTTCTAAGAACTTTATACTTATTCAGTTTCCTTTCTAGACACACTGGTAGTTTTTGTTTTGTTTTGTTTTGTTTTGAGAGAGAGAAAAAGAGCACAAACGGGAAACAGGGAACAGGGTTGGTGGCAGAGGGAGAGAGAGAATCCCAAGCAGGCTCCATGCTCAATGCTGAGGCTTGATTTCACAACCACGAGATCATGACCTGAGCTGAAATTAAGAGTTGGATGCTTAACTGGTTGAGCCACTCAAGTGCCCCAACATGGGTAGTTTTTTTTCTTGTAGGTCTAATGCATGTCTAAGTTAAGTTTGCTCCTACTATTTTTGCTTTTCCTTCCTTTTATGAATGAATTTTTTTCCTAATATATTTTATAGCTTGTTATAATTGATATATGAGAAAGCTATTAACTTTTGTATATTTTTTATAACTGGTAAATTTCTTTTAATAATAATAATAGGGTTTTTTCCCCCTTGGATAATCATATTTTCCATAAATTTTGAAAATTTGTTTGTTTCTTTCTAATTTTTAAATGTTCTTTCTTACTGTACAATAGAGAAGTTCTACAACAGTGTTTTTTTTTTTTTTTTTAAAGATTTTATTTATTTACTTGACAGAGAGAGAAAGAGAGACAGATCACAAGTAGGCAGAGAAGCAGGCAGAGAGAGGGGGAAGCAGGCTCCCTCCCGAGCAGAGAGCCCGACGCGGGGCTCGATCTCAGGACCCTGAGATCCTGACCTGAGCCGAAGGCAGAGGCTTTAACCCACTGAGCCACCCAGGCGCCCCTACAACAGTGTTTAATAATAGCTCTAGTGGGCATTTTGTCTGTGTATTTTTTTCAAAGGAACTTCTTGCCTAATAACAAGATGTGCAGTTTACTTTTCCTGACAAAAATAGATAAGAATTTCAACCATAACCCCTGTGTGTCAGAATGAAGGGTTAGAGGTTCATAATCTGTAATTCAATAGTCAAAAAGGCATTACTCCCCTAATCTCTTTGGCATTTAAACAAAATAAATTTGTATAGAATTATTAGATTTTTGTTTTTTGTGATTTAATGTAATAAACATTCTGTTTTTTCACTGTATGTCTAGGTATTACATTTCTTTTAGCCTCTAAAAAGTCCTTAGAGTAGTCTTTTGCATGGGATGATATTAAATAAATGAATTTTGAGTTTTTTAAACGAATAGAAGTGATTGGGAACTTAAATATGTTTTTCTGGACTTTAAGTTTTATGTTATTAGTTCAAACCATAGACATGGGTAAATTCTTTAGATTTCTGGTAAAAAAAAAAAAAAAAAAGAGAGAGAGAGAGAGAGAGGGAGAGGGAGAGGGAGAGACAACTCTTTATTGTTCATAATAAATTCCTAAGGGTAAGTCTAAATTTTTTACCATATTAAGGCATCTTTAATTTTGTAGTGTCACAGCAGATGAAGTTAATTCACCGTTATCACCCCTCACATGGCAGGTAAGAGGAAAATGAATTCCTGTTGTATCTAATATTTTGTTCTCATTTATTTAGTTAAAAGAAATTGTCTCATTACAGCCCTTAGAAAATCAGAAGGATCAAGTAGATGAACAGCAGTGGCCAGAATCTCAACCTATAATCTGGCAGAGTGAAGAAAGGAGGCGGAGCAAACAGATTAGAAAAGAATATTTCAAGGTACTTTTTATTAAATTGCAAAATTTACTTTGTAATTATTAGCTTTGGTTTTAAAAGTATTGAATTGGGGCGCCTGGGTGGCTCAGTGGGTTAAAAGTTTTGAATTAATAAGGTAGCCTATAACTCTAGTTACATGTAGTAAATATGCTATTTTATCTTGGTTTCCCACATGCATAGGTATATATAATATGATCCAGTTAAATATATGAAATTTCAGTAATTCAGAATAATTAAGAATGACTCTGTAGATCAATGTGAATTGTGATTTACCAGATACTTGACAAGAAAGTTGAATGTTTGCTATACTGCTAGTTGTACCAATATGTAGTTATGTTTTAAAAGAACTGACTAGAAAAGTTTTTCAGTAGATTTGTTTCACTATATAGTTCCACATGTATTTGCAATTAGCATTTAACTCTTTCTGTCTAAATAAATGCTACTTACGTGGCTCTAAAAATGCTTGAAAGTGTTTCTCCCCCATTTTTTCTTCTTGCTACCTTAGTAGATTTCTCAAGATGATCTTTCATCTTAGGTAAATTAAAAGTTTAGATTATTTGAATCATCCCAAATTTCTAGTTAACGGGGTTTTAATGAAATTTTACTGTGTATACCCTTATAAATATTGTAATATTATTCATTTGTGGTTAAAGTCTGATGTTTATAGAAACCAGTGGAATTAGCATAATCTTCAGTACTAGTCAGAATCCATTACTGGAATTCCTGACTCAGATGAACAATACAGGAAAGCTTCCCTATGAATACCAAATTCTGTTGTTTTTGTGCACCTGTTCCCCAAGCCTAATTTTTATTCAATAATAATAATTTTATGTAAATATGTAGTTTTATGCTAAACTATAGGTAGTTTGAGGTTTATATCATTAACGGATAGGATTATATTTCATGTTTTTCTCTGTTTGGTAGAAGCGGTTATATGTACACATTGATCGGTTTACTTATATGGGAATATAACATATTTTGAAGTAGTATCATATGACCAAAACAAGAATGTTATGTGTCGTAGCAAGCCTGTGATAAGTTTCATACTTCTATGGTAATTAATTACTGAATCCTTTTATTGAGCTTCATATTACCTGGTCCATATGAGAGATCGTGAAGAAATAAGAGATAGGGAAAAAAACAAGGTCATTCTAAGCAGAACCTTGGTCAGTAGTGGTCAAAGTCTATTTATCCCAGATCTTTACAGATTTGCAGTTATATTTACATTCTGACACTTATTTCAGAATCTCCTCTTACAGTTTATAGGACCTTGAACAAAGGCACTCAGTAAAATTTGTTAGTAGATAAACCTGACGAATGAGTGATGATGTGGAGGAAATTTTAATTTTTCTGACTAATGGAATAGATTTTGGTATTTATTTGATCTACTAGTAAAGTAAAAGCACCTAAATTCTGACAGTTTATCAAAACACTTGAATAGCACTTACTAAGTGCCAGGCACTGTTCTAAGTACTTTACAAGTATCAATTAATTTAATATTCATAACAGCCCTATGAAGAAAGTACAATTACCATTCTTATTTTATAGATAGGGAAATTAAGGCACAGAGAGGTTAAGTAATATGCTGTGCCTCACTTAGCTAATAAGCAGTTGAGCCAAGATTTGAACCCAGAGCTTATGCTACATTGCCTGTTTATCTACTGTGGATAGCCTAATATAAAATGAAAACTTTCAGATCAATACAGTTTTATTGTTTTTAAAAATACAGTAACCCAAGTGAACTTCTCAATAAAGTCTTAACAGAAGTCTCAGTGAGCCTTTAAAAAAATAGTTGTTTGATTTAATAGCATCATTTGTTAAATATTTTATTTTTAAGACTTAAACATACCTCCTATAATATTTCTATTTTATAAGCGCTAAAAGATCGAATGAGGTAGTGTTTGAAATATCCATTACATTATCTGCATTCAACAAATGTTAATTGCTTCCATGCTTTTAGTAAAGTGGGTGCAAAGTTAAGCTTTAGTCATTGGGAAATATTTTAAGGAGATATGTAGTTCTCCTCAGTAGTCAGAAGATGTCAGTGTTAGGACACTGAAAAAAATGGAATGTCAACAGTTTTTTCCTAAGCTGTAAAAAAAGATATAAACCTGAGATACTACTGTCTAAGTCAAAACCATTATTCAGAATTGCCAGTATTTTCTTGTTTAAGACATCGTTGATACCTATGAAGTGTCTTTATTTTAAAAATAAAATTTCTCTTAATCACCCATCTCCCAAGAATCAAAAGGGTTATTCATAGGATATATTACTGAACTTAGTCTGGATTTATAGTTGATTAAACATGAAAATATACTACTTTAGAGATTTATATCCAAATAATACCAAGCTCACTCAGTGAGAGTTAGCTTTGCGCTGTTAAGAAACATACAGAGATTTTGTGCAACTTTATCCCAGCACATGTAAATGACTGAGCCACAAGATTTCTTTGTGTTCCATGGTAAATTATTAATGGCATTGTTGTTATTCAATATATTTATTGAAAGTGTTTGTGTGTATGTTTGTGTGCGTGGGTCTCTTTATATATTATTTCTCAGTTGCCAAGACTGATCTTGGATAGTAACGTTTTTCAGGTAAAAACTTACTGAAACTAAGTAAAAAAGGTTTCAACATATTGGCCAGATTATGTGAGCAAGAAGATAAATTGGGTCAGATTATATGAGTAAAAAAAATCATTGCAGGAGAGTTACACTAACTCTTCTAGACTCCCAGACCACTCTTGTGTAGGTTACTACTCTACTAAATAAAATAATGTCCTCATTGTCAAAATAAAGTCACTGCATTTTTAAAGTAAACATATTTCAGGAAATACATTACTTTATTAAAAATCTCTTAAAGAAAGGCAAATGTAGTTTACATTTTACAGAGGTGTATTAATACTTTTAATAAGACACACAACAAAATATGAACATCTAATTTTTTGATAAATTATGTTTAATGTAAATTAGTAGCTTTAATTTCTTCTAAAAATAATAATACATAGATTTCTCCCATCCAAGTACTAACCAGGCCCGACCCTGCTTTAGAATACATAGATTTCTAAATGCACTTGGTTGATTTCTAAACAAGAAAGTTAAAAAGCATTAATATAACTATACCATATTAGTTTTAAGGATTATTTGATTTATTGAAATACCGTATGTATTTGTCTACAAATGTATCTTATTTCTGTTATGATAAAATATTATAATGACCCTTAAATAAATATCTGATTTCATAAATACAGTATATCTGCATTTAAAGGCTAATGCCAAGGAAAATATTTTTATGTATTTTCTCTGATCATGACTAATTTTATCCTAGAATAGGGAAGCTAACTGGGTTTGTGAAATAACCTGATTTGTTTTGTTCTGAGTCAATGGAGTTTGCACAAGTTAATGGCTCTTCTGTGAAATTAACATAAGCTTCAGAAGTGAACTGACCTTTTTTGTTTCTCTGGTTTGTAAATAGGTCTTTACTAAGTTATTTGAATTTAGATATAATAAACTTTAGTTATTCAGACTAATACTAATTGAGGACAGCTGAATTGATTCAGTAAAAGTTGGACTTATAGAATATTCTCAAATCTATGCATATATTAGGTTTTGGGTGTTAAGACCTTTAAATCTGTGCAGTAGTGCAAACTAAGGAGTGCCTTCCTAAGTTTTCATATATCATGGATATTTTTAATTAGAAGTGTAGTTGAGTTATAGTACTACAAGTCTCATTATCTATGTTCTTGACCTCATTACACTCTGTTTCTTTCCTTTATCAGTTATTCACTCACTCTTCTATATTCTTTCCATGTCTTTACTTTCCATCGGATACATGAGCTCAGACCTCTGCAGTTATCCCCAAGTCCCCTTGGAGCTGTTGCCTTGTCTCTTTCCTTTTAGGGCCAGACTTACCATTTCTATATCTCCAGGTTCTGATCACTTCTTAACCCACCACAGTTTGGGTTCTGCTTCCATTTCTCCATTGAAATAACCTCTTACCTAGAGCTTAACATGTACCTAAGAATTTTTTTTTAAAGATTTTTATTTATTTATTAGACAGAGAGAGAGCACAAGCAAGGGGAGCAGCAGGGAGAGGGAGAGGGAGAAGCAGACTCTCTGCTTTGAGCAGGGAGCCTGATTTGGGACTTGATCCCAGGACCCTGAGGTCGTGACCTGAGCTGAAGGCAGAGGCTTAACCAACTGAGCCACTCAGGCACCCCTGTACCTAAGAATATGACAGTGATTACTACCACATCTCTCTTCTTGAAACTTCTTTCTTGTTTTCTATCTCATTTTTCTTCCTTGGTTTTTTTGTTTTCTTTTGGATGTTCTTGTTTAACTTATTTTCTGACTTTGCTTCTGCTTGCTTTTAGGGGCTCATCTTCTTTTCATTACCCTAAAAATGCTCTCTGAAGCTTTTATGACTCCAGATGTCTCATATTCTGGGGGGGGTCTAAATTTACATCCCACAGCTTTTTTCCTGGTCTCCAGACCTGTGTTTTAATTGTCTGGATGCTTTACATGTATTTCAAATTTGATACGTCTCTCCCTCCTGCCCCTCTCCTGCATAGAAGTTGCTCTTCCTCTCTTTTCTTTATTCGAGTTAATAGTAGCAATGTCTATCCAGTTGTCTGTGCTCTATACCTCTGTCCTCCTGGATCTTTCCGTCTCTTATTCCTCTCACCTAATTGATTACCAGGATGTTAATTATATGTCCTTTCTCCAATTCATCATTTCTTCTCCATCTCTACTGCCCTTGCTTTTTTTTTTTTTTTTAAGATTTTATTTATTTATTTTGACAGACAGAGATCACAAGTAGGCAGAGAGAGAGGAAGGGAAGCAGGCTCCCTGCTGAGCAGATAGCCCGATTTGGGGCTCGATCCCAGGACCCTGGGATCATGACCTGAGCCAAAGGCAGAGGCTTTAACCCACTGAGCCACCCAGGTGCCCCCTACTGCCCTTGATTTTGTTGGAACCCTCATTCTTTCTTGTCTAGGCAAATGTAATAACTCCTTAAATGGCCTCCCTATCTGTAGTTTCACAGTCCTTAGAGAAATCTCCTGACTTAAATTTTTTTCTTGGATCTCTATTATCAGTAACACAAAGTTTGGGCTTTTAAGAAACTTCAGACACTGTGTTCATCTACTCCTCTAAATTTTATTACCTGCTACAATTCACTCTCCTCGCTAGCCATACTGCTATTATTTTTAAAAGAGTTATTTCTTTATTTAATTTTAGTGTAAGAGAGAGCATGGGTGGGGAAGGGCAGAGGGAGAGGGAGAGAGAAGTCTCAAGTAGACTCCCCGCTGAGTGTGGAGCCTGCCCAGCAGGGGCCTCTATCTCACAACCTTGAGATCATGACCTGAGCCAAAACCAAGAGTTTGACGCTTAACTGACTATGCCACCCAGGCGCCCCACCATACCGCTACTCTTTGTTTTCTACATAGGCTAAGCTTTTTTATTCCTTTGTGCTTTCCTTCTGAGGATGCCCACTAGCTCTTTTTATTCCTGGCAAACTTCTACTAATCTTTCAGGATTTAGAGATGGTAGTATAGCATAGTGGTTTAGAGCCTTGACTTCTAGGATCAAGATGCTTTGGTTCCAGTTTTTAACTTGGATATTCACTAACTGTGTGACTTTGACAAATCACCTGACCTTGCTGAGCTTAATTTTTTTCTATCCTCGAATGACTCTGATAGTATCTTCTTTTACAGGATTTTCTATAACTACTGAATTACTTGATAATGTGAAGTAGTTATGAGAATAGCACTTGCCACAAAGTATACATTTAATAAATATTAGCTTATTATTCACTCCAGTGTCATTCTTTTTTTTTTTGTTTTGTTTTGTTTTGTTTTTGTACCAGTCTTCTTGTATCAGGTATTAATTCTCAGTTAAAATAGGAAAGGATTCAACAAATATCAGTCATGCCTGACAGAGAAGGTCATGGTCAGGAATACAGACTGCGCCCTCCACACTGGGCCCTCTTCAGTGGTACATATGTAGCTGTTGATGTTTGAGTTCCTTGAATGAAAGTCAGTAGTTGAAAAGCATATAAGATGCCAACAACATAGAAACACCTATGATGGTCCCTTTCTTCACATTGTCGTACTTGTAATACTGGTAGTAACCTCTTCAAAAAACCCCAACAGTGCCTTTAGGAGTGAGATCCTGCAACAGTATTCAACTTAGCAGCTCCTCTGTTTAGACGTCCATGAATTTCTTCTCCTTTACTGTTATGACTGATGCCATCTTCAGGTCCTAGCGTCTGCTGTGCAAATGTCACTTTTTTTTTTTTTTAAGATTTTATTTATTTAACAGACAGAGATCACAAGTAGGCAGAGAGGCAGGCAGAGAGAGAGAGGGAGTGGAAGCGGGTTCCCTGCTGAGCAGAGAGCCCGAAGTGGGGCTCGATCCCAGGACCCTGGGACCATGACCTGAGCCGAATGCAGAGGCTTTAACCCATTGAGCCACCCAGGCACCCCGTCCCTCTTTTGTTGAAGTAGAATAGAACCAAGAACACAAATTGTCTGCAAGCATCATGCCTAGGGATGGCAAGTAGGTTTTTTCACACATGCCACAACTCCATTCAGTGGCTATCTGGAACATTGGGTGTAACATATTGAGATTATGTCTGGAATCAGCTGGAGAGAGCACCCTAGTAGATTAGTGATAGCTGTCATAAATCACTGGAGAGACAGTGAAGGAATTTAGGTTTGATATTTATAATCCCTAATACTGCTTGCCTCCCAATCTGTGGTTGAGCTCTCAGGTAGATTATCTAGTTTTCCAAGAGTTATGGAATATAAAGCTGCATAAGTAAAGAGGGCCATTAAGTAGAACTTTGAATGCCAGGTAAAGAAATTTGAACATAATTTGAAAGTAGGTTTTTCAGTAGGGGAGTCATGAGTTACAAATAGTGTTTTGAGTGTTTTAATCTGGCACTGATTTGCAGGATTATTTGTGGTGAGGAGGATTTAGAAATAATAACCCTAGAGGACTTTGAAACAAGAACTATAGTGGTTGTCACACTGTATTTCTTTAATTCTTGATTCTAAAAACAAGCACTTTTCACACACTAGCATTTTTTATTTTAAGCATATGACCTTGTGCCTCAGTATAAAATGCAGATAATAGTATTCACTTGAGCATTGTTAGGACGATTAAATGGTTGATACATGTAACACACTTTTGACAGGGCCTGGTGTATAGTAAACACTTCTATAAGTATTAGCTATTATCACTATTACTGTTATTGTATGATTAGTATATATACCTAACATAATGTGTTTTTTTTTTTTTTTTTTTTTTTTACCTGAAATCAGTAGGTTTCTTAACAATAGATGGCATTTTTGAATGGTGAGATTACCCGCTAGGTGTGAGGTAATGGGGGCCTAGGATAAGTTGGTAGTTGTACGAATTTGGAAGTAAGCCTGAGAGACATTACAGAAAAAATTGACAATGATGTTTTGGATATAGTGAATTAAGAAAAACAGAAAGTTTAAGACAACTTTCAGATAGAAAACTTGAATGAATGGGAAGTGGATTGGCTCAGGAAGGAAATGTTAATAGATATATAGAACGATGCCATGAAAGCACTGTTTGTGTTAGCTATTAGTAACTGGTAGGACTGTTTAAATTGGTTATATAATTAAAGTTAGTATCAGATAATTTAATAAAAGTACCAAAATAGGAATAAACCTTACATATAATTTACTACTGATAAAAAACTCATGTGTTCAAAGAAAAATAAAGTGTATGTTTTAAATATTTTTCAGTATAAATCATCAAGGAAGAGTTCAAGTGGCAATGAAAAGGATGAGGTGAGAAAAGGGGGGTAATAGTAGCAATTATTTTAAAATGTTTACTTTTTATATGTAGTTGGCTCATTCAGAGTAAAATGTAATACCTCTGTCAGTTTCTTGGTTAGTGATTTAATGCATGGGTTTTTTTTCCAATAATAAAAACTGAGCATCATCATGCAATTGTTAATTTAATCATGTAATTTCCATATATCCTTTATTTTGAACAGAATTTCTAATAGTTCAGTTTTAGAATTTTATTAATAACATTTGTCGTTTACATTTTCTCATCTATTGTTTTCCTAAATCAACATTGTGATCATTTGAGATTCTTTTGGAATTTATTAATCTTTTTTTTTTTTATAAATTTTGTGTACTATTTTAACATTTAAAATTAAGTTGCTACAGGTTGTGCATTACTATAAATTTTTCTATCTCACCATTTTAAATTATAGAGCAGCCTAGCATTTTTGAAATGATATAGTGTCATCACCATAAATACTTAAGCTTTGTGTATTTTTCATTAGAGGGATTAGTAGGTAATTTGATGTTGAGTACTTGGCAGGGCTTCTGAAAACTTTAAGAAATGGAATCACAGAAAATGTTTGCTGAACCCTGAGCTAGAGGTACAGCTTGGCATTGTTCCTGTCCCTTTGTATTTAAAAAAAATTTTTTTTAATTAATATATAATGTATTATTTGTTTCAGTCATTCATCAGTCTTACACAATTCACAGCACTCACTTAGTACATACCCTCCCCCATGTCCATCACCCAGCCACCTATACCTCACTCCCCTCTCCCCTCCAGCAACCTTCAGTTTGTTTCCTGAGATTAAGAGTCTTTTATGGTTTGTTTCCCTCTCTGGCTTCATCTTTTTTCATTTTTCCCTCCCTTCCCCTATGATCCTCTGTCTTGTTTCTCAAATTCCTCATATCAGTGAGATCATATGATAATTGTCTTTCTCTGATTCACTTATTTCACTTAACATAATACCCTCTAGTTCCATCCACATTGTTGCAAATGGCAAGAATTCATTTTTTGATGGCTGCATAATATTCCAGTGTAGATATATACCACATCTTCTTTATCCAGTAATCAGTTGATGGACATCATGTCCCTTTGTATTTTATATCCACTTTGGTCCTGCCTGCCTTAATATCTAATCAGTTACCAAATACCTACTTTTTCTTTGTGATACTGAAATATTTTGAATACATTCCCCACCTGCATTTCTGCTTTTTCTGCCCTGGCACAGGCGCTTAGCATTTTTTTGCCTGTACCACATGCAATATCATCCTTGCTCTTTTCCCTTTCTACAGCCCATTTTCCTCCTTGCAGCCAAAATGATTGCTCCAAAGAACACAAAAATGAGCTCAGGCCATCCCTTTGATTAGAAAGCTTCACTGTGTCCCTGTCACTTAGAAGGTAAATTCTTGGTTCTTCCTGAGCAGGCCCCTGCTTAGCACATCAGCCTCAGCTCATAATCTGTCCTGCTTTCTCTTTCTTTCACTGTACTCTCCCAATATGGACTGCTCAAAAATTTTCTTTCGTTTTTGCTTCTGTGCCTTTGTCCTTTTAGACATCTTGGAATGTTGTTCATTCTTTCTCTTTCTGGTAAACACCTACTCAATTTTTCACTTTCTCAGGAGATTTGCCTTTCTCTACCACACCTTCCAATTCCCCAAATGCCCCTTACCCATGCCTCGTAATATGCATGCATAGCTTTGTCATTGTACTGAGAAGGTTGTATTACCTGTACAAATGAATATCATTTCCCCCTAGACTAAGAGATCCTTGAGTGGATGATACTTTACTAAATGTTAATATCCCCACTGTCTAGTACCATGTCTGACATATAATAGGCAGTCTATAATCTGTTGTTGAATGATGAATAAACATGTGGTATGCATATTCAAGGTTAAATGTGAAGATTTTTGTATTTGGTTGGTAGTAGTCATTCAAAATCATGGATCATTTAATATTATTTTATGCAGTTAAGTTCTTTGTATTTACTTCTAAGCCAATATTAGATACACATAATTTTCCATGTAAAATGTTCGTACTTGGGGTGATAGAATTTTTGTATGCCTCCATATACCTCTTTCAGATTGTAGCATCTTGTTGGCATGTCCCATCAATAATTAATCCTAAATATGGATCTCTTCTAAAAAATACAGGAAGATTTTTTTTTCATTTTTGTTATTTAAGGGAAATAGATTTTTTAGGAATATTTGATGTGAATTGATAGTGCTTCTCATACCTTAAAGTGCTTATGAATCAATCACCTGGGGATCTTATTGAAATACAGAGTCTGGTTCAGCAGGTCTAGGGCTGGCCTGAGATTCTGCATTTTTCACAAGCTCCAAGAGGGTGCAGATGCTGTTGGTTCACAGACCACATATTGAGTGGCAAGGTGGTTGATAGTATTTTCCAGATTCTTCCTTTAGCAGTTGATCAAAACAGTTTTCAATTTTTCTTTTATATGTCTAAATCATCATTTGTATTTTAATTTCATCTTTCATATTTTTATTTTTATATTTTAGCAAGACAGTGATAATGCTAATATGTCACCACAATCTCCAGTATCATCTGAGGTACAAGTTCTGTTTTTATATGCGTTTACTTAGGTTTCTTCCTTGTTTCTTCTCTTTAATCTCATCATTCTTTTTCTTTTAAACAATATAACTTATTCACCCATATTAAGAAATCTACAGTAGTTTAATTTGTGCAAACCTAGCCTATAAAAAATTCTAAGAACACCATCTTTTGTACAAATATTTATAGTAATAGTATTACCTGAATTACTTTTATTGGAAAATGCCTATAGAGCATAGACTTCACTTTATAAAATTCTTATGTTTTATAATTCATCTATATTTTCAAATAGATGTTAAGAACAACTTCGCAATTTTATATTTGAAAGAAGTACTTCAGCATTGTGCAGTGGCCTTTGGTTTTTCTCATAACCAATTAGGTCTGAAAGCAATGCAAGAGAAAGTTCCTTTTTCCACGAGAAACTTCCCTGTGGTGGGTTGTTCCTATCGACAGGAGGGTACACCTTTCTTGTCATATTAGACCTAAGGGGGAGCATGGGGAGAAGGGTGGATGAAAGTCAAGATTTGTGAGATCTCACCCATACTCTGGTGGCTTGAATGACCAATTCTTCTAATTTACTTAGGCCCATTACTTTACAAAAGGAGATAAATTTAAAATATTCGAAACAGTATCTTTTCTACTTCAGATTATTTAGTGTTCTAAAAGTGTGTTGGCATTAGTAAAGAAATGATTATGTATTCACTTGGTGAATTCAGAACTTCGTCTAAATGTTTGGAACATCCATATTCATCATGTAACTTTGGTTAATGATGTAGATAGTATTTCATTTTATGTAAGTGGTATTAATTTTTTTTTAAAGCCAGGATCATTTAGCTTTTGTTTTGTGTGAGTTGCATTATAAAACTTTTTTTTTTTTTAAAGATATTGTTTATTTATTTGACAGACAGAGATCACAAGTAGGCAGAGAGGCTGGCAGAGAGAGAAGGAAGCAGTCTCCCCGCAGAGCAGAGAGCCTGATGTGGGGCTCGATCCCAAGACCCTGGGATCATGACCTGAGCTGAAGGCAGAGGCTTTAACCCACTGAGCCACCCAGGCGCCCCACACTATAAAACTTTTAAATGTTTTTGGTATTAGCTTTATAAACATGTCTAAATTATGTATATGGCAAGTAAAATGGTTTGGATTCTTTTAAAAAGTAATTTAAATTAGGATATCCTAAATTTAGTCTTTGTCTTGTTAATCTCTAGTTCCTCTTGTTAATCTTGTTAATGATCTTGTTAATCTTTTCTTTTACTTTCAGTTATAATAAATGTAAGTGTATCAGTTACTAGTTCCCTAGTTTCCTTATGATTTTATCATCTCTGCTCATGGAGAGAGTATTAGTGCCATTTTTCTCAAATAAATTATATTGCTTTTATAATACATTTTGCTTGCATTTGGATAAGTCATATTTTGGGGAATTCGTAACACTTTAACCAAAATAATGAAGATGAACTATGAGCTTGTGGATGAGTACGGTGATGAAAATGTGCTTTGGTGGCTCAACTAACATTCAACTTGAACTGCGTATAACATGTTAATCAACAGAAGATTTAGAGAATTAACAAAATTTTGATTACTTCCATTTCATCTGTGAAAGACAATGGTAAAAACAATTAGTATAGTACTATACTATTTTTATTATTATTTTATTTATTATTATCTTTTTAAATTTCAAGTAGGCTCCATGCACAACATAGGACTTAAACTTACATGCTCCACTGACTGAGCCACCCAGGCACCCCTATACTGTTTAGTCTTTTTTTTAAGTAGGCTCCATGCCCAGCGTAGAACACACTGCAGGTTCTGAACTCTTAACCCTGACATCAAGACCTGAGCTTCAATCAAGAGTCAGACACTTAACTGACTGAGCCACCCAGGCATTCCTAGTACCATACTATTAACAAAGTGCTTGCCTATACACTTGAACCTGAAGTAGTCCCATGAGCTGGTATTATCCTCATGATTTTATAGCTGAAGAGATTGGTAACCTTTCCCAAAGACCCCAATCAATAAATGATAGACAAGTGACTGAAATCCATACTCTAGCTGCTTCATAGTTATTGCAAGCATTAAATAAGATACGGCTGAAAATGTTTTCTTATCACTGTACAATTTCCAAAGTGCTTTCTTTTAGTTATCTGAGTTAATCTTCACAACAAACACTCCATCTTAAATATGGAGAAAGTCACAGAGAAATTAATTTTTTTTAAAGATTTTATTTATTTATTTGAGATAGAGCACAAGCAGGGGTCAGAGGGAGAGGGAGAAGCAGAATCCCCACTGAGCAGGGAGCTTGATATAGGGCTTGATCCCAGGACCTGAAGATCATGATCTGAGCCCAAGGCAGATGCCAGACTGACAGAACCAGCCAGGTACCCTGAGAAATTGAATGTTTTGCTCAAAAGTTAGCCTAAGCTTTCTAAATCCAAGCTCAGATTTTTAAAAATATACTTATTTCTTTCCATAGCACACCACACTACTGTGTGAAAGTATTTCGAAACAATTTATTCAAATAGAAGAGATGATAATTTATCATGTTCGTGTCACCTATCACCCCCTATTAGTATGAATGTGCAGGTTTGCCTCATACTATCTACTAAATGTCAAGTCCATAGTAGATAACTGAGTGAATGTTGCTAAATTCACTTATTTTTTCACTGAAGCTTATTTCACTTTGTGGAGGCTTTAATCTCAATGTTCATTCAAAAAATAATACCTTTTTATTTATTTATTTAGTTAAGATTTTATTTATTTATTGAGAGAAAGAACAAAGGAGAGTGAGAGAGAGCACAAGCAGGGGGAGGGGCAGAGGAAGAAGCAGGGTCCCTGCTGAGCAGGGAGCCCCATGTGGGGCTCCATCCCAGGATCCTGGGATCATGACCTGATCTGAAGGCAGATGCTTAACTGATTGAGCCACCTAGATACCCCCAGTACCTATTTTGTATAATTCAGTAATTTTCATTTTTCCTTATACTATGAGAGAGAAGTATTTAAGAGCTTATGTAGTTAGATTAATTAGCAAATATTTGTAGACCTTTTAAAAGAGAAATGTATAAGTTTGAATTGAAATGCAGTTTGCCTTTCTGTACACCACTAATCATAGAAACAAATACTTCAAAGATTGGAATGGATATGAGTAACTACCTTGGTTATTTTGAAAGAAAATTGGTTTTCTTTTCTTTTCTTTCTTTTTTTTTTTTTTTAGGAATATGATAGAACCGATGGTTTTTCACATGGTCCTTTTGGCTTGAAGCCTAGATCAGGTAAGTATATATTCTGCAAATAAAATTTTTTGGTTATATATGAAACTAGAGTTTTCCAGCTTAAGTGGGATTGATTCCATAGTTTTAAGTACACATAGATTCTTTCCCCTCTCCTAAAAGTAATTTTCTCTTAACCTTATTTGTCTTTCCAATTCCCATTCCCCATTTCTTTCTTCCTCTTTACCTTCAAGCTCCTGAAACCTCAGCTTTTTGCCTTAGATATACTGCAGTCTTATTTCTACTCTACTGTGACTGCTATTAGAATGACCACTCTGCCTGCAGACCAAACACTGTTTGAAATTATAGCACTCCATTATATTGTGGTTTTAAAAAGGGATCTTTTCGCATTTGGCAAGCCCAAAAGAAAATGGATCCATGTTACTTGGCAAGGTATTGAATTATAGTTTTTATTCCTGAATAACTGTATTGACCTTCAAGAATAATTTCCTTTTTCTTTAAAGATAATAAAAGCTGATTTATGTTCAATAATAATTTTAACCTGGAGCATAAGTTTCTAATAACATATGTTTAAATACGAACATGTATAGGTGGTAGAAATCATTACACTTGTCTTCCCTGTTGCTTTCAATTGTGCAGATAAGTAGATTTCAATTATATTCTATAAAAATATTTAGAATGTATTAATAAGTAATACTGTTTTATGTAGTTTTGTACTGATTCTTTTTTATCATGCCTCTTTTCCCACCGCTGGTTGAGTCTTCCTATTAGCCTTGTGATAAGCTAGGAAATTTCTGTTTTTATAGCTTTTAGCCGCTCATCTCGCCAGGAGTATGGGGCAGCAGATCCAGGATTTACAATGAGAAGAAAGATGGAACATCTGCGGGAAGAACGAGAGCAAATACGACAACTTCGCAATGTAAGTGAGCTTGACCTTATAGATCTGCTTTGTAGAAATGGGTTTAACTTGGGAAATTAGCAAGATACCTGAATTTTATTGCAAGGTTTTTAAAAAATTTTGGATTATATAACGATTAGTAATATAATATGTAGTGTATGTATTTACATAGAGTATCTGTGATTTATACCCATTTCTTTACAGAATCTCGAGTCCAGGTTAAAAGTAATTTTGCCTGATGACATTGGAGCTGCACTGATGGATGGGGTTGTTCTTTGCCATTTAGCCAATCACATAAGGCCACGCTCTGTAGCTAGTATTCACGTGCCATCACCAGCAGTGGTAAGTTTTATCTACAGTTTGTTAGCTCTCTAAAGGAAGTTAGAGCTTCTTGAGACTATCTTTAAATAATATACCTCAATAAATTTAATTTTTTTAATTGATAAATTTCTGTATAAGTATGCTTGTAATATTTCTTCTTCCTCTTAACGTTGCAGCCTAAACTGAGCATGGCAAAATGTCGAAGAAATGTAGAAAATTTTCTTGATGCTTGTAAAAAGTTGGGTGTATCACAGGTAACTATCATTTTTCTAACAAAATTGTGACTTAAATGTTGCTTTGTTGTGTGCATACTGGACTTTTTCTTCACAATCGGATGAATCATGCTTTCTGAACATGAAAATGTTCCCTTGGTACATTTTACTGAGCTCCAGCTTTGACCATAGCAGCTATCAAATGAATTGTTTAAGCTGCTTTTAAAGGCATTTATAAAACAGCTACATGTATGGAAAAGTTCTGTAATCGTACATATCATTGAGTAACCGTGACATAGTGGCTGTATTAAAACTTGATTTCATGATGTAATTGCTACTTTCATTTTTCCTGCTGAGAGACATTTGGACTCCTTTGTAAATCCATTGGTAGACTTTGATGGGAAGATCTGCAGGCAGTGTTAATTGCGTTTTATTTTATTTATTTTTTAATTATAAAAAAGATGTTATTTATTTATTTATTTGAGATAGAGCCAGAGAGAGAGCACAAGCAGGGCGGGAGGGCAGAGGGAGAAGAAGCAGATTCTCCACTGAGTAGGGAGCCCAACGTGGGGCTCCATCCCACAACCCCAGGGTCATGACCTGAGCCAACGGGAAGACAACCATCTGAGCCACCTAAGTGCCCTTGTTAACTGCATTTAAACTTTATTTAAGACGTCAAATTGGAAATCTTAGTAACACATGATATCTCATGGGACAACCTTTGTCTGAAATTTGTAGGAATTGGCTTATGTTTCACACAATAGTTGCAGTATTATAAAATTAACAAAGCGATATTGTAAATGTATAATGAAAACTAATAGTTAAAATATTGCTTTTTTAGAAAACATTTTAGGCCTAACATCAAGATGATTGACTGTTGAGAGGACATGGTGTTGTTAACAGATCACAATATAGTTATTTTTTTTCCCCTTTTTTATTTTTAAAAATTTATTCTTATTGAGATATAATTGACATATAATGTTGTATAACTTTATTATACATTGTGTTGGTTTGATACTTTAATCTTGAGTTGTGCTGGGTTAGCTCTTTTTACCTGTGTCGTCATAATCTGGTCTACAGATTCCACTTTGACTTCTTTCCTCAAGTGAATAAATATAATTTATTTAGAGAGAAGCAGTTGAATTACAGTGTAATTTGGAAACTACATGCTGTTCTCCTCTAATTACATCTCTGTGCGTGACATGATATTTTAATGTATTTTTTGAAAGATTTTATTTATTATTTATTTGAAAGAGCGAGAGCAAGAGAGAGAGTGAGCAGGGGGAGGAGCAGAGGGAGAGGGAGAAGATGGCTCCCCACTGAGCAGGGAGCCTGATGCGTTTTGATCCCAGGATACTGAGATCATGACCTGAGCTGAAGGCAGACGCCCAACCGACTGACACACTCAGGTGCCCCTGACATGATGTTTGAAAATTTTAATTCTTTTTATTGGAATTAAAAAAATTTTTTGAATATTTTATATATTTGTCAGCGAAAGAGAGCACACACACGCAGAGGGAGAAGCAGGCTCCCTTCTGAGCAGGGAGCTGGATGCTGGACTCGATCCCAGGTCTCTGGGATCATAACCTGAGCCGAAGGCAGACGCTTAACCAACTGAACCACCAGGCATCCCTAAAAAATTTAATTCTTAAATATTTTTATTTTAGCTCTTTCTTTTTAGTACTCAATCTCTTATTGAGAAAACAAAAATTAGAAAGGTTTCTTTTCTAGTTGCATTATATTCATTTTCTGTTTTACCATTTTTTTTTAGAGAATCTTTTTTTTCTTTTTTAAGATTTTATTTATTTAACAGACAGAGATCACAAGTAGGCAGAGAGGCAGGCTGGGGGTGGGCAGACTCCCCGCTGAGCAGAGATCTCGATGCGGGGCTTGATTCCAGGACCCCGAGATCATGACCCCAGCCAAAAACAGAGACTTAACTCACTGAGCCACCCAGGCGCCCCTCTGTTTTACCATTTTTAAGAGTTTTGGGGGGCATTCTCAATAAACATTCATTGAATGAATGCACATTTTAAAAATGAGGAAACTGAGACAAGGGAAGTTAGGGAACTTGTCCAAGGTCACATCTTTAATAAACAGTGAAGTCAAGCTATGAATCCAGGTGGTCTAACTTCAGAACATATCCTCTAATGTGGATATTCTCTATTTCTGTTCTTTTACATGAAAGAAAAGACATTGCAACTCCAGATACCTTCTTGGTACCATAGGCAAGGGGGATCAGTTAGGAAGATCTTATGAAAACTATTCTACTTAGCATACTCTAATCTCTCTTTAGCTTGTTTTAGGGAAGGGCTAGTGCCCCACTGAGGCTTACCATAAGAGGCAGTATGAAACGACCAGTTATCAACTCCCATTTTCAAAATTCTCCAGCTGCTGGCAGTGGGAGAAGAGTTTAATAACTTCAGTATGTTTTTCTAACTTAGAAATGGTAATACAGAGTTAGTTGTTTCATTTAGTTTTTTTCATTTTAAGATTTTTAAATTTTTATTTTTAAAAACTTTTTTGAGGGGCGCCTGGGTGGCTCAGTGGGTTAAGCCGCTGCCTTCAGCTCAGGTCATGATCTCAGGGTCCTGGGATCGAGCCCCGCATCGGGCTCTCTGCTCAGCGGGGAGCCTGCCTCCTCCTCTCTCTGCCTGCCTCTCTGCCTGCTTGTGATCTCTGTCTGTCAAATAAATAAATAAAATCTTTAAAAAAAAAAAAAACAAACTTTTTTGAGGTATAATTGACATATAGAAAAGGTGTACAATTGTTAAGTTTTGACATGCATACACCGCGAAATCATCACCATTGTCAAGATAATGAACATGCTCATTACTCCCAAAACTTTCCTTATGCCCCTTTGCAATCTTTTTTTCCCCAGATAACCAATAATCTGTCTTCTGTTATTATAGTTTAGTTTGCATTTTCTATCTAGAGTTGTATATATGTTGTATATAAATGGAATGATAGAATATGTATGATTGTTTTCTGGCTTTTCTTCAGTCACTATAACTGTTTTTAAGACTCATCAATGTTGTTGCATGTATAAATGAGTCATTCCTTTTTATTGCTGAGCAGTATTTCATTGTATGAATATACGACAATTTGTTGATCCATTAACCTGTTGATAGCCATTTGAATTGTTTCCAGTTTTAGGGGACCACTTAGACAAATAAGACAGCAACGAACATTTATATACAACTCTTCAGATATATACAACTTTTCAGATATATACATTCTTTTTTTTTTTTTCTTAAGATTTTATTTATTTGACAGAGATCACAAGTAGGCAGAGAGGCAAGCAGACAGAGAGGGGGAAACAGGCTCCCTGCTGAGCAAAGAGCCCTATGTGGGGCTTGATCCCAGGACTCTGAGACCATGACCTGAGCCGAAGGCAGAGGCTTAACCCACTGAGCCACCCAGGCGCCCCCAGATATATGCATTCTTTAATTTGGAGTAGATATCCAGGAGTGGAAAGACGGGAACGGATAGTAGGCATGTTCTTAACATTATAAGAAAGTACAAAACTGTTTCCCAAAGTGGTTCTACCATTTTATATTCCTATCAACATTGTATGAGTTCTAGTTCCTCTACATTTTCAACCAGTATTTAATATAGTCAGTGTTGTTGTTTTCTTTTTTAATTTTTGCTGTTCTAATAGGTATGTACTGGTTTGTCAGTGTGGTTTTAATTTGCATTTCCTTGAAGACTAATGATGTTGATCATCTTTTCAAGAGCTTATTTGCCATTTGTATGACTTCTTTTATGACGTGTTCTAATCTTTTGTCTGTTTTTTAATTGGGTTGTTTTCTTCTCATTGAGTTTGAGATTTCTCTACAAAGAAGGGACAAAGTCCTTTATCAGATGCATGAATTACAAATATTGTAGCATTAGTCTTTGGCTTGTCTTTTCATTCTCATTATAATATCTTTCTTTTTTAAAAAGATTTTATTTATTTATTTGACAGATAGAGATACAGCAAGAGTAGGAACACGAGCAGGGGGAGTGGGAGAGGAAAAGCAGGCTTCCCGCCAAGCAGGGAGCCCGATGTGGGGCTCAATCCCAGGACCCTGGGATCACAACCTGAGCCAAAGGCAGAGGCTTAATGACTGAGCCACCTAGGCGCCCCTATAATATCTTTCAAACAGTAGAAGTTATATATTTTTTGAAGTAAAATATCATTTTTTAAAATTCTGCTTTTTGTTTCAAACCAAAAAAATCCTTGTATAACTCAGGGTCACAAAAATTTTCTCCTATGTTTATTTCTAGAAGTTTTATAATCTTTTTTTTTAAAGATTTATTTATTTATTTGATAGAGAGAGTGAGAGAGAGCATGAAGGGGAGGGAGAGCAAGAAGTAGACTGCCTGCAAGTAGGGATCCTAATGTGGGGCTCGATCCCAAGACCCCCACATCATGACCTGAGCTGAAGGCAGATGCTTAACCGACTGATCCACCCAGTCGCCTCTAGAAGTTTTATAATCTTAAGTTTTATATTTAGGTCTATGATCAAATTTTAGTTGTGTTTGTGTGATACGGATAGTAATCCTCTTTTTTTACACCTGAGGTTGGGCACACACTTGATTTTTTTTTAACATTAATATAATTAACATACTGTAAAATTCACTGATTTAAAGTATATAGTTCAGTGGTTTGTAGTATAGTCACCGAGTTGGGCAAGAGTCACAACAATCTAAGTTTAGAATATTCTTTTTCTTCCAAGTTTTAATTTAAATTCCAATCAGTTAACATACAGTGTAATATTAGTTTCAGGTGTAGTATTTAGTGACTCATCACTTACATATAATACCCAGTGCTTATCACATGTGCCCTCCTTAATACCAGTCCCCCTGTCCACCTCCTCTCCAGCAGCCCTTAGTGTGTTCTTTATAGTTAAGAGTCAGTTTTATGTTTTCCCCTCTCTTTTTCCCCTTTGTTCATCTGTTATGTGTCTTAACTTCCATATATGAGTGAAATCATATGGTATTTGTCTTTCTATGACTGACTTACTTTACTATGATACTCACTAGATCCATCTATGTCC